AATTTATGTTTTCTAGATAACAATTAAAATAATTGTTCACATATAATTTTCCAGATGAATCTAGGGCAACTTTAGTCACCAATATTTCTAAATTTTAGGTAGGTGATAAGGTAGTTTCAAATTGTAATGTGTTTTTTATTTATTACCTATTAAGTTCTTACATTATGCTGTTTTATTATACATTTATTACATGATTATATAAATTAAGCCCAAAAATATGGCATTGAGAAAATATTTAAAACCATATAATTTCTTTCCAGTGTGGTGGCGTTTTATTTAAAATTGTGATTGCTAACTAATAACGATCAAACTAACTCATGTAAATTGAACATTTAAATATAATGTACTACAAGTTGTCTATGTAACACTATTACAACACTGTTTTGCATTAACGTGAAAACAAAGGTCATGCAAATTTTGAAAATCATATAATTTATATAAATACCTACTAAATATTTGTTTTTATATGGTGAATCTGGGGTGATGTATGTTAAAAATGGTAGATAATAATCAAAATTATTAGTGCCTTTCCACCCCAAATGTTTACCTTAACTACGATTCTGGTTACCTATGTTTATATAATAATTTGATTGTGAAATTTATTTTTAATACAATGGACAATTCTTATAATGCATACTATTATCTCAGTGTATAAAATTAAGTACTATATTACATTTAGTACTTATAATATATTCTGGTGTCCACAATCAATGGTGGATTTTGTGTTTACCCAGGATGGGTCAATGAGTGGAGGGTGAAGTGGATGTATCCTATATTTGGTAAATCCCGGAAGAAAAATCCCCAAAGCAACTATACTGTACAATGGTTTGAATAAATATTGCGCGCACAGCTGTCAAAGATAATAATAGTATCATATGTGGGTATAACCATTAAAATATATTTTATTTTTTCCTTATGTGGATTTAATTATGGACATAGTTGCACAGTCTCACAGTTCGAAATTACTCAATAGGAACTGAAGCAGTACTAACCATAATACCTATGTATTAGGAATGAATAGTAACGTGTAGATACTAAATATATATGTCTAAATAATTTTTACCCAATGTATTTTCCTAATTCCACAATTTATCGGACTAAACATTCGATTTTAGATATTTGGCCACTAAAATAAATAATGTGGGCTTCCCTTGAGAGAGTAGATAGCAGTTATATTCTACAAATTATTTTTTTGGAATATTTGCTGTTTCATTTATAATCTTTTGACTAAAAACCATACGCATGACAATGATTCTACGATAATTTATACATGGTATAAATAAAATTGAAGTAGGTTGGTGTCTGTAAACTTTTTTAAATATTATTGATATTATAGTGGTTTTGGGGATTTTTTTTCAGATTGCCATATTAGGTACCAAATTTTTCTTAATTATTACATACAGAGTGATTTGTTAAGCATTACATTACCACATTTGTATGGCTAAATTATGCATACATTTAAATAATAATTTTTAGAATTCATTAAAAAAACCAAAATTTTTGTAGCCACTGGATAATTCCTTAAATATTGTGAAAAACTAAGTATGCGAAAATATTGACTTTTACTATGATAGTAAGTACTTAAAAATTTCAAAAGCCAGAATTTGAATGATCATGCTTCATAAAACACTACATACTATTTATACATAATTATCTAAAAAATTATCCTTATCACTACCCTATGACATATTTATAGCGTTTTCTACCTGACTGCAACGTTGCACCTAGACCGGGCAGGTTATATTGCCCGAAAAATTGTCTAGTATAGTCGAATCATGAATCATGTGGAACATAATTTTTACAGTTATCAAGTATTAATATTATAATGTAACTTTTAATTTGTTAAAAATTAAAACTAAGTAACTAGTAAAATTACTAGTTAACCTATATATTATCAGTTAAAATTATATTATTATTATTTAATCATCGAGATTGGAATTTTTATCAATAAAAGATAAAGCGCAGAAGCTCGTGCGATTATAATTATATTACTGCATTCAAGACAAGAAAGTGGTAGAGTGCGCCCATGTGAAACATAAAAACCTCCACAAAATTTGCCCCAATATTCCATATGGAACATAAAAATGAACACTGGTGCAGTCAGGTGGTAAACGTTATAAATGATTGAACACCACAGAGTGAATCCCGGGAAAAAAATCCCTAAAGCGACTATACGTTCAAAATTATATGTATAAAAAAAAAATCGAATAAAGTTTAATTATCAATAGTTAGAGTGTATAATGTGCACACATCTGTCAAAAATAATAATAAAATAAATATAATATTGTGTCAGTTCACCTGCGTATATTATTGGATACTGTTGTCAAAAGAAAAATCTAATGTATTTTCACAATTCCACAATTTATCACTCTGAACAATTGATTTTAGAATATTATTATTATTATATAGATAGCTTACGGATATTTGGCATCTAAAATTATAGCAATGCGGGCTTCCCTTGAGAGAGTAGATAATACAGTTATATTCATGATATAATTAAGTTAATTTAAGTTTACCAATGATTTTGTTTTTAGTATGATTACAAAATCATACGTTAATGTGGATGTTTAGATTTATGTTATTAATTGAATAAATTAATAATATTCTTACTTAAAATATTTTCAATAAACATTAATTAGATGAATAATAATAAAAAAAAAAAATTAGCATTTGATGAGATTCGATCTCCCTACCTACGAGACATTTCCTAATCCCTATTCACTATTCATACTGCAACTACAACGATAAATAGGCATAGGCGTCCAAAGGGAAGGGAGCAAGACAGAGCGTTTGCCCTTCTCTCTAGCTTTTAATATGTTAATAGATTCGTCATATTTGAAGAATTTTTTGTTTTTATTTTTTTTTAAATTTTTATTTGATGTATTTAATATATTTTTATTTTATATTTTGAATTACATAAATTAAGGTAGGTATAAAATATTGAATCTTACGATATAACATTAGATCCAAAACCAGTGGTATAAGCAACATTAATTTTCAGGAAAGACAAAGTCCCTAAATTATTTTTATGAACCTATGCCGTGCAGGTTATTTAAATTTAGTGATACCTGCTTAATATAATATGAACGAATAATCGTTTGTACTTCGTTTCTTTAATTTTTAGTATGCTAGATACTCGTATTATAATCGTCAGTGAATTCTGCATATGGCTTTTTTTCACTACCTTACTCCTCGCCACAATTTTTAAAAAGTTATTGTTGTAGACTTCTAGTTATTAATGGGACATTCATAAAGGTTCGTTTTAAAGTGGTTATAGTACTTAAATGTTACTCGTAGTTTAAATGTTTTCCCCTCTGGAGGTGAAAATAACCGTAATATATGAAAATGTATTTTTTGAGGGGGGAGTAATTCCAAACTATAGGAAATAAAGACAATAAAAACCCATGAAATCAATTGCCTCGTTCTCTCCCAAGACGTCCATAATACAAAGTCATAATATTCAATAGTTCAAGTATCTACCTATTTGTATAGGTATGATACTAGATGAAAATATGAGTAATATCCATAGAGTATTCAGTAATACCTATATCATAGATTAAATATACATTGATTAAGTATATTTAATCTATATTATTAGTAGGTATAATCATTGATTATAAAATAATCTATTCTATAATCAATGGTATAATGTACCATGTACCTTTTTACTTATTTATTATTATTGTATCATTAATCATTATAATTATTAATCAATAATCATTTATTATGCAATTAATTCAACATTGAATAACCGCTTAGTACTTAAATAACATATTTACAGTTTTATTGTGTACTACTTACAACTAAATGGGTAGTACACCTATATAATTTATACAGCGCTGATTAAAAGTTGAACAAATCAAACTTAAAATATCATTTGAGTCTACCGTGGATTTAGAGTTAATAAATGTGTACTTAATTCATTATTGTAGTATAATATACACTAGTCACTAGGATAGTAAGATATTCTTAAAAGGTATTTAAACATATTTAAAAAGGAATTATCATTTTTGAATTGATTAATATGTAAACAAATAAAGGTAGATATTTTGAATTATAGTGAAATCTCTGAATATCGGGCAAGTCTTAGTCAGAAATTTTGTCTGTTATTTAGAATAGATAAATATCAGGTACTTATATATAGAAAAGAAAAAGAAATTGATCAAGTGCATACGTAGTCAATTCGGTGTTAAAAAATCGGTTCCTAACTTGGTAAATTTAATCTTTATTTAATACAAAAACTTTTTAGCAAAAATACGTTTCCGTTGTTTTGACGGAATTCTAGAATTTAAATTTTGTTCACAACAATCTCTTTCGTTTTAACACTAACAAAAACCAATAAATTAACAAACAAAACAGATGATACATTAGCAATCAAGGCATTGATATTTTTGTCACAATATTGTCATAATTTTATCTAACAGTTCGATAACGAGTTCGTTATTTGAGCGTATTTTTCTATCAATATTTTTAAATTATGATTAATATAGGTCTCCCGGTTTCCGTTATTCAGAGGTTTCCTGACTAATGAGTAGTTAGTAAAAAAGTCCCCGTTCTCAAAAAAAAAAAAAACGTCCGCTCTTGAGAAGTGTCCAATAGGGGAGGATTTATTGTACTTATCTATATTATTAATGATCAAATGGTAAAAGTAAATTTAAAATGTTTTTTTTTTTACTTTTTAAACCCATATTACATTAACATTTAATATGATATACCATAAGACATGTGTAGCATTCTATCTATATTCATTTCTACTAGTTACTACATATTATTTATATTGTATTCTCATAATAAAATAAAACAAAATATTTTATCAGTGGCCATATGTTGACAACTACAATCAAATGCTGCTATTTTTTAATAGTACTTAAATTAGGAAAGAAATGGTTTTCATACCAAAATAATAAGGTTGAAAATATAATTTATCATCACTGTCACAGATAATCCAATAAATGATGTTTGGCAGACATGAATTTATTATACTAGGACTGGTTTGAAATGGGCGTTTATATTGTACTCCTAGTTTCGCAGTTAGTGTTGGTTTTATGTCGATGTCAAACAAGAACAAGATGGTTTTTAATAAAATAGAATTAGTTTTTATTTGTCTAGTAGCTTTTTATGGTAAACTTTATTTAATTTTGAATGTTTCTTAATTTTACTATATTAATCAATAATATTTATAATATAGGTGTAAGTTACGGCGATGATTGTAATAATGATTTAACCAGTAAATCAACTGCTGTTAAACTCTCGCATGAATTATTTTGCTCTTATGATAAAACCGTCAGACCAGTGATCAACCAATCGACCCAAATAATTGTTCACACTTCAATTTTCATTTATAATATTCATTTGGTAAATCAAATTCAATTATTATGTTAATATTCATTATATTGAATCTAGGTCAAAATAAACAATGTTAAAAATATCCAAATTTAAAAAACGCTTTTATAAATAAACAAAACCATTTTTAAATGTTAAATAATTAAATTAGGTAGATTAGTAGATGGCACTTTATTTTCCAATAAAATAATGTGAAAATTGCAAAAACAATAATTCGTTCTGTTACGTCAATTCCGCTTTCATGCAACATAAGTTGTGTTTATTTATCACCCAAATAACAAAAATCATTCTTAATAACTAATTTATTAAGAATTATTCTTCTATAGAAATCTTCTATAGTTTACAATCACTTAATGTGCTAGGTACAAGAACAAAATCAACTCACAAAATCTGTGTGTAGGTATCTTTTTATTGTCTATACATTTTTTTTTCCATGTACAATATTATAATTTTATATAATAATTTATTATATAAGATATAGTGTTATTTACTAATATACGTAATTCAATTATTTAAAATTTTAACTTACATTTTATTTTATGTTATTTTAGCATGTCGACGTTTCAAAATGTTTGTGTTTATTTTTAAAACGTTGAATAAATTTGGATATTTTGACCGATTACTATTATATTAGGTAGTGAGTAAGGGTTACTTACCCTTCAATAACACTATAGATATCTACATATATATATAAAATAATTAGTGACTTAAACAGTTATACCTATAGGTACTTGTATTATTATCTCATAGGTAGTAGAAACCTATATACCACTACCCAATACTTAAATTAATTTATGCAATTTATTCATTATTATTCGTCTTGTTTTATTTTAGTTAGAAGATTGGGAGGTTGTACAGATCAATTTTCAATTGTTAATGGTAATAACTATAATATTATATTAGAATAATATTTGTATTAATTATAATATTATGAATAGTGTACCAACTTATATAAGTTAAAATGTTATACTTATGTTATAGAAGTGGAAAGATGAATTTTTAGTTTGGGATCCTTCAAAATATGATAATATTAATTTTATGCATACAAATTCGAAACAAATTTGGATACCTGATATCATGTCATACGACTCGTAAGTTATTTAATTTATTTTACTTGAAATATAAGCAGAAGCAGAGTGGTGGCTAAATTCATATCGGGAGATTAAAATTTATCCGGGCCATTTAATAAAATACATACCTATAGGTACTTACCAAACAAATTTTTCTTGAATTTTAATTTGAACCAGCGATGATGTGAAGATTTTAAATTAACGGGAGCTAAATACTTTTTACTTGAGACATGGGTGAAGATAAGAGAGGTCGTTGAGTTTCAACCAAAAAAAATGTAGAAAAAACTTTACATCAGGTACCTATGTATTTTAATGCTTACTTTAAACGAAAATTTAAAAAATAAACTTAAGGGATAGGTTAAGTACTTATTGTAAGACCATAATAATATGTGTTTCGGCATAACTTTTTACTAATTTTTTAAATAATACAAATAAGTAAAATATTTTTACCCATAAAAATAACAGGCCAATTGAAAATTCCCCGGTCTGACACATAAATGACGGTACTAGTATTAAATTCATGTGATTTTTAGTTAGTACCAATCTTCAAACGATACGTATCAAAATTTGACAACAGTCCGACCATTAGTTTTTGAAATATTGCATTATGAGTGTAGCTACTTTTGTTATTTGAAAAAAGATGGAAAAAAAAGAATTTCGTGTGCTGATAAAATATCGCTTTTTTGAAGGGAAAAAATACAGTTGAAACAAAATCTTGGCTTGATGAAGAATTTCCGGGGTCTGCACCAGGAAAATCAACCATCATTGATTGGTATGCTAAGTTTAAACGTGGTGAAATGAGCACCAAAGACGGCGAACGCAGTGGACGCCCAAAAGAGGCTGTTACCGACGAAAACATCAAAAAAAGTTCACAAAATAATTTTGAATGACCGTAAAGTGAAGTTGATCGAGATAGCAGACATTGTGAAGATATCATCTGAACATGTACATCATATCATTCACGTATATTTATACCTGAGAAAGCTGTGTGCAAAATGGGTGCCACGTGAGCTCACAATCGATCAAAAGCAACAACGTGTTAATGATTCTGAGCTGTGTTTGTAGCTGTCCAAGCGCAATAAACCTGAATTTTCGCGTCGATATGTGACAATGGATGAAACATGGCTCCATCATTTCACTCCGGAGTCCAATCGATAGTCAGCTGAGTGGACTGCACACGATGAACCGAATCCAAAGTGAGGAAAAACACAACAGTCAGCTGGCAAGGTTATGGCATCAGTATTCTGGGATGCGCAAAGTATAATATTCATTGATTACCTCCAAAAGGGCCAAACCATCAACAGCGATTATTATATAGCGTTATTGGATCGTTTAAAGGATGAAATCGTTAAAAAACGGCCTCATTTGAAGAAGAAAAAAGTGCTGTTTCATCAAGACAACGCACCGTGTCACACATCAATGAAAATAAAGGTAAAATTGTATGAATTGGGTTTCGTATTGCTTTCGCATCCACCGTATTCGCTAGATCTGGCCCCCAGCGACTTTTTCCTGTTCTTAGACCGCAAAAGAATGCTCGCTGAAAAGAAATTTAACGCCAGTGAAGAAGTAATCGCCGAAACTGGGGCCTATTTTGAAGCAAAAGACAAATCGTACTACGAAAATGATATCGAAAAGTTGGAAGTTCGCTATAATCGCTATATCGTCTTCGAAGGCAACTATGTTGAATAATAAAATCGAATTTTGCCAAAAAATTTGTTTTACTATGGTAGACCGGGGACCTTTCAATTGGCTTGTTATAAGGCCACTAGGCATAATACGATCCAGACCATCTGGAGAATTCTTATTTCCAGATCGCTCACTCCGCCCATGCGTATAGGTACAATATTGTACATTTAAATCAATTTATATGACATATTTAATGAAAATATTGCCCCCTACATGAAATAATTTATGTAAGAGTACAGCACTTATATATCCAAATTGTTATTATTTTAATTCGTTAATCGCTACCTACATTAGGTATTAAGTAGTTACATAGCAATATAGGCACGTTTTTTTGTTATCAACAAGATAATTAAAACAAAATTTTAATTCCTAATGTATTAACGGAGTAATAATATTTATGAAAATATTTTTCAGGGGATATTCAGTGGAAAATAGCTTATCATCATACTTTTTACCAGAGAGTATGGTGAAAGTAACTAATGAAGGTTTAATTGATTACAATCAGCGTGTAACGCTATCTGCTCAATGCTCAGCCAATATGGCCAAATGGCCATTTGATTTCCATAATTGTTCTTTTTTTATAGGATCTCCTATTTACACCAATAAATATGTCAATTATACTTTCACAAACAATGATGTAAGTAATTATTATATTAGGATGTTATAAAAAATATATATATATATATTTAGTTTTACACCAAGCTATGTCATAAAAATGGTGATTTCATAAATAATAAAAATATTAAATTTATGATATTTAAACTTAAAAATCAGTCATTTGCTATCATTACATCTACAGAATTTATAGTTATCTTTTTTTTTTCGTTAACAGCCCAAGGGCTGGTTGGCAGCATTCCTTCAGTCTTCACCCTTCTCTGCTTTCCGCTTTAGTTCATAGTAATCATATGTTTCACACCTTAGATCCTTAACTAATTAGCTTATGTATTCAAGAGGTAGTTTTTCTCTACTATTCTTCCTTCTATGGATCCTTTTATTATTCTAACTGGTAGATTGTTACATCACAATGTGTGTCTAATAAGTTGTGGTCTTCTAATCTTCAGAGATTTTAGGAAGCTTCTTTCTTTTTTTGCTCTAAAAAAAACTTCCTCATTCGTTATATGATCTATCCAACTTATTTTAAGAATTCTCCTATAGCACCATACTTCAAATGCAAGTATGTTCTTTTCTTATTATCCGAGTCTATAAACTACCATAAAGTGTTACGCTCCAGACGTAGGTTTTTAGTAAGTTTTTCCTTATCTTTAAATCTATATTTCTAGAAGTAAGAAAGCTCTTTCTTTTTTGGAATGCACATCGTGCTTGTTGTAATCTTTATTTTATTTCTTCAGAGTGTCCTCCATCATTTGGTGTTGTACTTCCCAAATACTTATATTCATCAACTACTTCTAGTGTGCTATCATCTAATTTTATAACTGGCCTAGTTGTTTTATTTCGACTACAGGCGAGGATTTTAGTTTTTGACTTATTTATTTTTATGTTGTATTCCTCCCTGAATATGCTATTCATGGTCGTTAGAATATTTTGTTAGTCTTCTATATTCTCCGCTATCATCGCTGTCATCAGCGAACCGTAGCATATCTACTTTTTCGCCTTGAATTTTTATTCCTACTTGTATTAATTCTCTCACTCGATTAATTACTTCTTGTACATACAGGTTGAATAAACATGGGGATAATGAATATCCCTGTCTTACGCCTTTCTTAATTTCTGCTATTTCCGACTGTCTCCGTAGCGTACTACTCCTGTCTCGTTTTTATAGCGACTTTTAATTATTCTTCTATTTGAATGTGCAACCTCTGTTTTCTTCGAAATCTGAAATAATGTTCCCTTGTTTACATTGTCGAACGCTTTCTCTAAGTCTACAAATACTCTGAATGTTGGTTTGCAAGTATAGCTTCCCTCGTGCCTCTTTGCTTCCTAAAACCAAACTGGTCTTCGGATAATAAACTATCTAAAGTGTTTTCTCAGCACAATACGTGTAAGAATTTTTGATACGTGTGAAAGCAAGCTTAATTTTCTATACTGTTTACATGTATTTACTCTTGCTGTTTTTGGTATCGGCAATATTACGCATTTTGTAAAATCTTGCGATATTTTCCCCGTTTCATAGGTTCCATAGACTAGTTCATATAGCATCTTTTGACGTTTTCTCCACTGTTCTTAATAAATTCTGTTAGTATTTCATCTACTCCGGGTGCTTTCCTATCCTTTAACTCATTTAAAGCTTTTTCGAATTCCTCCTTCATTATGGGTTGGTCTTCGCCTTCTAAGTTTAGTCGATCTTCCTCTTCTTCATCTTCAACTATTTGTGTGTCTTGATCCTCTTCCTCAATGTATAGTGATCTAATGTTAGTTAAAAATATGATTTCAATCAATTTTTCAAACAATTTAATATGTATAGTATTACCTATCCAGACTATAATATAACAATAGAAGTGCTCAATTTACACTTCAAAATTGGATTTTAATCCTTTCTTAAATCAGAAATTGGTTAAGGGGCGGAGTTATATAATTTTATTTCATAAAACAATGATGATATTACGTTTAAATGTATAATTGAAAACAAAAATGTAAGTGAATAGAGGTCCATATTTTTTATATAGAAGATTATATTACTAACCTAACCTACTACCTAGGTAGGTACCATAAACAAAATTGCTTAATGGAGAAAAAAAACAAATCTAAAATTATATACTCGCTTGTAAATGTTCATTTCTTTTACTAACTACCCACATTTAATATATTTTTATATAGGATATTTATGTGGATTATAGTCCAAATAGAGAATGGAAAATTATTAACGTAGATCACAAATGTATCTTCTACAATTATGATACTAAAGATAATGGTTCATTTAGTCATTGTCTTATACAGTATGATGTAAGCATAAAGCGATATTCATCCATGTACCTTTCATCCATTATTATTCCAGCAGTTGGTTTGTAAAATGTTTTGCCATAATAGAAATTATTCACCTATATATTTTAAAAAAATTAAATATTTAAATTTCAGTCATATCATTGATGAGAACTTTTACATTTTTGATGGGTCGTGAATATACACTTCGAATAGTGTTACTTTGTTTGTTCTTCATTTCTGAGTTATTGTACATAGAATTCTTGGATACAAAAATACCAAATAATGGTGAAAATAGTGTGTTCATAGGTATGTATAAAAACCTACCTATTATATAAAACTGCATAATATAATCAATTTTTTTTTTTCTTTAAATTTTAGTTCTATTGTACCGCAATTCTCTAATATTAACAGCAGTAGCAATTGTCATATGCGTTGTCAGTAATGAACTATATAAACATGGAACAGAAGATTTTCCTATCAACCCTCCTGAATGGATTAAGTCTGCTTCAGCATTTCTTTTAAGTAAAAGACCAATTACAATATTCACTCATTTTAATAACCAGGTATGTTATAAATAATATACTTGTAGTATACCTACTATTTTTTAAATTATAATAGATAGTTTTATTTTACATAAAAAGTGATTATATTTTAGAGAGAAGAACTTTTAAATGAACAAAATATGGAAGAAGATACACCTAATAGTCAAAGAGACAAAAATGGTTTATTTTGGAAAACACTATCAATCTTATTAGATCGTTTGTTTTTTTTATTTACTCTTTTAATCTCAATAATTAATTTTTGGTACTTAATACCCTAAATTAAATTTATTTGAGAATAATAAATAAATTAACAAAATTTACATCCATCTTATTTCTGTTTATAATTTTGAATAAATTTTACTGTAAAAGCTTCACAACATTAACAATACATACAAATAATTTTAATATCTTATTGCACTTGAATTATTTATAATACTATTCAATTATTTACCTACAGTCTACACGATACTTTCTGTATTAAATATAGATACTTTGTTTAAACACGTTATAATTAATAAAAATAAAAAGTCAAATTGAAACAATTATTTGAATAATAGTAAGTACTAAGTACTTACATCTAAACACACACAAATGTGAAATATTTATTTATATGCTTTTCACACGAAAACACAACATAAATCGAATAAAATACCAATTTGCCTATACATGACCCCTTAATAAGTCGCTGCTTCGTTCATAAAGAACTAGGTAAAGTATATTGTATTTTATAATATTTATAATTTTTACTATTGTAAAAGCACGTTGGCAAGGCGTTACCAAAATGTATTGTTTTGTTTAAGTAGATACTTATTTTAATAAAAACAAGAAAAAAACAATATGTAGGTATTATACCCTTAAAGGTATCCTACTTAAAGAAAAAGGCTAGCCTTATATGATTTAATAGGTATTTTATAAGTAGGTAATATAAGTAATATATACGTTGTCTATACACTCGACCATGGTCGGTTTTATATATACGTCAGACTATGATCGGTAAAATAAGGAACACCCGACAACAAAAAAATATCGGCATACTATTCACACGATGAATGGGTCACTCGGCACTGTTGTAAGTGAGACAATGGGAAGGTAGGATATAGAGGGGAATTTCTGGAGGAATTAAATGATTTTATATTTGTAATGATTAATCGTTGCAAACGAAAAACTATTCTGAGCGGAGTTCGGTTATACATGTTGTACTATTGTACATGTTTTAAAAGACCTGCTAGGTGGTTGGTCCAACGATTTTATCCACAGAGTATCGTATAAATATTATGTATAGAACTAGACAAATTATAATTATCTATAAATAGTTCAAATGTTTTGAAAATTATACTAAAATATATGATATATAATAGTATAATATATTATTATTTATACATAGGTACTTAGTTTTGTTATTTGTAAAATTAAATTGAAAAATATAAATTAGGAAAATGATAAGAAACTGCACCTTTACTCCACCATTTAAAAAAATTTATATTTGATATCAAAAATGCTCAACTTGCATATTTCAATCGTGGTTCTAATTGTTTTGGTTTACCGACCTTAGTCAGGCGTATATTACGTTCGTGTGTATGAACACAGCGTATTATATAATATATGGTCATACACAGTGGCAGGATTATTTAAAGGATTGGGTCTATGGGGGTTTGAAGTCGACAATTTTCTTAATCTTACCTATAGCTAAAAAAAAACAATGTGGGATAGATTAGAATTCCCAACATTTTTCTCACCTGCACTGTACAGCAACATATTTATTATTATGGTATAATTGCAGTTTATTTATCACGCGATTTTTTTAAATTTTCGAGTGACGGTTTAAGTAAGTTTTTTGTCTGTTTGGTGCATAATATGTTTTTACATTGTTATCTACTCGACGTGGTTTTGCTAACAAATCGGGGTTTTTTTCGATTAAAATAGTAATAAACTTGATAAAACAATTTGAAAGTAATAATATGTTATGGGGTACCAATTAAAACATCTAAAATACTGGAGAAAAGAAAAGAAGTGCGAATAAAATTGTTTGAGATACGGATCCGAACTCGGGAGTACTTGAATATTATATTAGGTAGGTAGATACGCATCAACACTAAGCAGAGCTGCAACAACCAATACCTACAGAAAATGCAATATTGATTATTTAATATAACACACATAATAATATAGTATCTATAAACAAATAACCATAAATTCGGAACTAATGTACAGCGCCAATTTTCGTTTACACCATCATTTTGAAAATATTGATTTATAACCTACTACCAAGGGGTTTCAAAAGACAAAAAAAAATTTAAAAAATATCGCGTGATAGCAAAATAAAATTATTCCCAGCAATTATAAGGGATTGGGTCTAATACCTAAGTGTATTGAATTTTTTCTTTTTTATGAATGGCATACGGTTTCTTTTTGAATAATATACATTATAAATACAATAAATATATAACAAACAATATGCTTAAAATACCTATTGTTAATCTATTAGGTACCTACTACCTACAGATGTAGAATGTAAAGCAACCGTGGTCGATGTCAGAACCCAGATCTTTCATCTATCAAATATATATTGGCAATCTTGTCAAATGGAATTAAGAAAACGGTTAACACCGTCTGTTAATATAAAATAGGGATAACGAATCATAAACATTAATATTAAGTCTATGTAACAATAAATTATATCCTTCTAATATTGTACGAACTAAAAATTTGGTAATGAAGGTCGCCAAAGAGGATACAATAACCGAACAAAGAACAGTGCTTGCCCGTGAGTGACGTCGTTTTCCCTTCGTCGCTAAATCGCGTCCGATTATCGATGGTAGAGTGTGTGACAGTAAAGCTATTGCTGCGTCGTGCGGAATGTTATTAAAAGTGGATGATGTTTAATATACTAAAAAGTAATCCATTGTGTAATGCTGTGACTTATATTAATGGATTGAGCCATAGAGGATCAAAAAGATTGTAGATCAAATTGCATGCGTGCTAATTTTCAAATATGAATATTGCAGGGAAAAAAAATCATTATTATTAATTTATCGTTAAACGTTGTCGTCATCATACGAATAATATTGGTTGTTTACATAGGTATTACGCATTTAGTATTTACGCACACGGTGCCACCATTCATCACAGTTTTTTTTTCAACCGGTTATTATTGCGATAGGTACATCAGGACGCCGACGCTATTTGCCGCTGGACAGTGTGGCGCACTGGCAGCTGGCTGTCGCATTATAATATTCTCGGAGCTCGAACATGTTATTTTGACAACGCTCCTCCGTCCTCTCTGTTATCAGGTGCGACGCCGTTGTTTTGTGCGTGCGTGACCGATCGCGTCCATTTACCCCGTGTGACTAAAGCGATATTATTTTATTGTAATCATAATCTCGCAGGCTTTTTGTAATTTGTTCCTATTTAAATAAAATTATGAGCATTACCGTGGCGGTGAACGCGGCGGATAGTATCAACGGTTCTCAGGCCGTTTGTCAATCAGGGCATCTCGATTGTAACGAGTATAACGGCGGCGGCAGCAGTGGCAGTGGCGGTGGCGTCGACGACGACGACATGGCTGTTTTTGAACATGAGAAGCACCAACACGAACTGGTAAATACTTTGACGTATTGTTATAATATTTAAGAGGAACAATTGTTTTTGAGATCAATCATAGTTATTGGATTATTATTTTTTTTATTGTTTACTAGTTTTCTCATAACATTGCACCGTTAAATACACAATATTATAATAATAATTATTATAACAAATAATATTAGTATTGATGTTTTTTTTTTGTCATATCTACTATAATTTGATTGTATTTTAGACACTTATCTATTTACCTTTTCATTGATGTTAATGATATCGGTTAAAATTTGAACAATAAATATAATACCAATGTTAAATGATTTCATATCATTTTACATAGTGTACTTGTAATCAATTAATGTAGGTATGGTTGTAAATCATAGTTCATAGTATTATTTTCTTTTATAATGATTATTTTGTCCATCACAAAAAGTTTTGTACATTTATTACTTATCAGTTAGCATTTGTAAAGATAAAGGTAATATGAGGACAAATTAAAATAACCATTTATTAGTATTAATTCATTTTGTAATAAATATAATTACAACTTATAATAAATTAGCTATATTTGACACAAAATCCCTTTTAAGTTTATGACTATTAACATAAGTTAAGTGTGTATCTAGTTTCCTACCTCTTTTAACTATCAATAAATATTTTAGGGGTTTTATCTTTTAGACTAACTTTCTAACCTGGTTACATTAAAAGTAATGCACATATTTACTAAGGAGTAGGGATAATGAAAACAAGTAATTTAATCATTATATTATTCTTCACTGCACAAGTAATTATCCCCAAAGCCTATCAAGTAGTTACATAGTTGGTCTCTTTTTATTTAAACTATTTTCCATTCGGATTAAAAATTCTCCATCCAAAATATCCCGAGTGCGTTTCTTTACTGATGTATGTTTTCTATAAACACCCCACATAAAATATTACCACGTATACAATTGTTTTTTTACTATAGCGGGGTCAAATAGTTGTGTAGGATAGATATTACCTATTGCAAACAAATATTTTACTCTAAATGGTTAGTTAAAAGCTAGTGAAGCTGTAATAAATTGAGAAATTTATAAATAAAATTTGACCATATGCCATAAAATTTTTAAGCATTGATGCATGCTTCAAAATATTTGGGAATTGGTTGTAATCTGGCTTTTGGGATAAAAAAAACAAACGTCAAAATATTGAAAAACCCCAAATATAAATATTTTCCATGCTTCATGTCTTGGCCATTATTCAATTTTCAATTTTCCCATTTCCTATAGAGATATTAAAGGTGTAAAAGTGCACGTTTGGCTGTCTTAGAAAAATTTTGATTTCTGAAAAAAAAAATCTATCTCTTGGGGCTAATAAAAATGTCAAAGTATCGAAAAATTATACATGTATTTTTCATTCCTCTTTCTTACCTTATCAGCATTTTTCTTTTAAAATTAACATTCCGATTTCCCCCAAAAATATACGAGATTTCAACACTTTTATTTATTACTTATTCATAAGCCATGTTGCTGAAAAGGGTTAAAAATTAGAAATATTCAAATTCTGACTGGAGTTTTATAAATACACTATACTAATAGAAAACCATTGTACTATTTTCCGATATTTTTAGGTTTAGTTTTAACCCCTAGATCCAGGCAGAGCCTGTGAATAATATAATTTCCAAGTCCGTGAACGTCTCTAAACCCATCATATCTCGACAGGACATGAGAAAATTGAACATTCAATCATGAGTCATTGAAAGGGTGCACGGAAAATATATGTATATGACGTTTTTTTTTATCTCAAGAACCAGACTTCAACCAAATATTTAGTTATTAACTAATTCAATGAACCTTTTCTAAATATTTAATTATCTTACATAATTTTTAACTATTGAAAAAAAGTGATTTCCCATGTTGCTATTTAATATAGATAAACAAACCACTCTAATTTATGAAATATGTTTTTGAAATTTAAAAATTAATTCTTAAAATTAAAGTTTAAATTTTCCATATATTAGGTACCAGTACTAAACTATTTATTTTATTATTATTATCATAATCTCAGTCTATTCTTATACTTAATTTTTATTTATTTAAGTATTTAGCTATTATATTGTATACTTGCTGTAACTGTATTTTTCTTCCTATATGCACATTTTATGTAAATATATATTGAATAGTAATCTGTTACAAATAATAACCCCGAGGTTTGGGTAGATTATTTATTTAAGGTGGGCTTCTATCAAAAAATAATTTCTTTATATTTTAAAAGAAGCAATCTATTTAATTTGTCACATTTTAGTATATTAATATAATATGGCTTGAATTTTAGATAGGAAGTCATTTGAATCAAAAGGAAAAAGATTGTTGTTTTAACATTCGAGATATTCACAGAAACAAACAATTAAAGTAACTAATTAATTACAATAAGTAATAATGTATCTTATAATTATTTTTCATTACATTTTAATATTTTAGTGAAGATAATGATATCCAAAACTGGGAAGGGAAATGGAAATCTCTTATGTCTTATATACGTACAGTATATCGAATGTCTTTGGATGGTGTGGAAGTTGAGCGTTACCCGTCCCATAATATATTTAGAGAAGCAGCTTATGAGTAAATTGATATATTTTGGTAAATTTAAAATTTGATATTTCAAATGTATAGAATTTTTAAATTTTCTTCTAGATCCAGACACTGTGATTCATATCATGTGTTTCAAAATGTGGAAAATCTTGTTATGGAGTTTGTATCGGAAGCAAGGACTAGACAAGCGAAAATACTCGAAAGCAAGAGCAAAAATACACCCGAAATGCCTCAAGTCTTTGTATTTTGTAAGTTTCTCATTAAAGTATTAGTTAAATTTAATTTAAAATTGTTTGTTTACCCCATTTTGTAGGTTTATTAGAAAGCTATAGACGATTAATGGCAGCAACTGATCATTTGAAAAATGTTATTAAACCTATTGAAGAATTTCATTTATCAAAATTTAATTTATCATGGCGAATGATGAATCAATATTTGTATCATAGTCGACTCTATGCCGATAGAACAGTATATCATCTTGTAACTACTTTTATAGAACAAGTACTGTGAAATTTTGTTTATCGTATTGTATTTGTTCACGTTAATTGTTTTTATAATTAAAGATTTTATCAACAAAGGTACTATCTAAATCTGCATTAAGTCAAAGTTTAATCCGGGATTATACCAAATTTGTTAAGGAAGTAAAACTCAACATATCTGAATGGGCAGAAGCGAGGTCTTGTATTCATAATATCAAGTAATAATTAAACATTTTATCAATTGATATTTTTTTTTATTATATCTAATCAATTTTTATTTATAATAATAGATGTAATGAAGTATGGGCCATGACTGCGAAAAAATGCAAAGAACCAATATTTAAAGATGAACATGATTTGTATCCTCCTTCGCCGCTGTCAACTGATGATTTAATAATAGATTTGACTATTCCAACTCCACCTCAATCACCAGCTCCTGAGTATCAGTTAGTTAAAATGTAAATCAACTATTATATTGTCATGTAAAATATTTAATTTTTTAGGGAGAGAGAAGAAAATGATGATTGTATAACTGTAGATGATGATACAAGTTCTAATTATTGCGACTGTATGAGTGATTCTGTCACTGTAAGTATTATATTAATATAATAAACAATAATTTATTTGATAAAAGAGTTAATCGAAAATGTGTTAATTTAGGGGGATTCCCAACAAAATTGTTCTGAAGATTTTGATCATTATGAGAAATGTTTACAAGAAAGTGCAGAATTAAATTCAATTGCTTTTTCTTATTCTAATATGAAAGAAAAAATGTTGTGTTTTTATAATGCTAAAATTTTGTCAGAAGAAAAAAAACAACAACCATCATTTATTGTAGGAACTGTGGTTAAAAATCTTGGAAAAATGGTAAAATAATTTTTGATAATTTTATATACTATTTTTCATTGAGTAAAATTTGAATAAAATAAATTTGATTGAACAATATCTACAGAATGATCCATTTATCATGAACCAGGAATTTGTTCAGAGGATTTAAAGTGAAATTGATTTCTATCTCTAATTTATTATAAAAATGTAAAAGTTTTATTTTAAACTGTTTATACTTAAAATGTGTGCATAATTTAGATTCTTAAATAGAAAGTTCTCTTTTATTTACAAATTTTAATAGTACATTTTTCATCAACATTTTGGTATGCATTAATTACAAAATTACCATTTAAAGTTTTAAATTAGTTAAAAATTAAGTGGTAGGAAGAATAATAAACTATTTAAGGTAAATAACTCAAAATTATATTAACATAATTCTTAGACAATTCCATAATGGTTGGAAGAAATAGCAGTAATCAATTTTACTTTAAATCCTTCAAAAATGTTTGGTTCATGATTAATGAGTCACTGTTTATCTATATATTAAAATAACTAAATTAATTAATTACTTAATAAATAATTACAAACTTGAAATTAATTATTGTATTAAATAGTTTATATCTATACCTGTATTAATCATACAATGTATACAATACATGATCAAAAATATGTTGTTTTATTGTATTTTAAATTTAATTAATTTTTGATTTTTCAAGAATGCTTGTCCAGATGTTGTACTAGTCAAAGAGACTAAACCTGTGAATGTTAAATGTCCACCAGCTATTGATAAGGACGTAACATGCAAAGTTGATGTAGAACAGTTACCTAAACGACGACATCCATATCCAAATGTTAGTAAACCATCAGAACCCGCACCAAAACCAAGTAATCGGCCATTGCATGGTCATTCGTGTCATAAACATACTGAACATGTAAAACGTATGCATCATCATGATGAAATATCAGAATGTAGTTCAGGACGATCCAGTCAAGATGATAGTTGCTCAGAGCGCTCCACTTCTAGTCCAAGGCAATGTGATTGCTGCTACTGTGAGGTTTTTGGACATGGACTTGTAAGTATTTATTTGATTAAATTATTAATGTATATCAACAGTAAAGCACATATTAAAAACAATTAAATGTTTTATTTATTTTTTTTAAGCCTTCTATGGCACCAGTAAGCCGAAATTACCAAGAAATGAGAGACCGGTTAAGAAACCTTTATCTCCTAAAAAAAGCCAAACAAAATGTTCACCCTACTAATGACACAGTAAAACAAAAACAAAAGGAAACTAATGTGCATAAGCCACAACCTGTTCACCCAACTAATCAGGCTTCTCAACCAAGTGATAAATCAGGTAAGTAATCTTTGAAGTAAATAATCTAACTATATAATATTAAATGATGCATGTTCACATTATATGAATACTGTTTTTTATAATTCAAACACAATGGCCAACTATTCTAATAATCTGCCATAGATAATTAATTTGCCTGGTATATTTTTATTTAAAATACACATCTTGGAATCTATTGTCTGTATACATAACAGTTAACATATTATATGATCCATACATTTTGTTCTTCTATGTCAAATTGCTGATAGGCAGTTGCAATTAAATTTGTATTGTAACAGATTTTATTAGTTAAAGATAATTACTAAATTATATCGTTTTAAATACTTGCAGAAAAAAAAAATTTTATATACATTTTTATTAGATCAAAAATATTTGAAATTTGCGTTTTTAATTTATTATATTATTAAATATTTAAAAATTAATGCTTGTAATAATCTATTAAACGTCATGTTTCTTAAGATGAGGATAATGGTCAGAATCTGGAACTTCAAGTATTTGTTTATTTTTTTGGCTTAACATAAATTCTATCAGAGTACTACGGAAACTCATGTCATGTTACAATATCTCAAATATGAAATTTGTATGTTTTTTTTTTTTAGCTTATTTCGATTGTTTTAAGATACATTGCTTTTTTTAGTTGATTGTTTATTTCCTTATGGACAAAACTTAAACATTTCAGTTAAATTCTGGGTGAAGTGAAGAATGGTTTTATTGGTTTTATTTACAGTGATGTGTATTTTTATTTTTTCTATCTGTAAACAACTTTTATCCTAGAAATAGCTCCTTGCTCCTATAAAAATATGATAAAAGACCTTTTTTGTTACATTTTATCTCTTGTTAGTACTTTAAGATCATTTTTTTGAAATTTTCATTAATATTAGAGTTAAAGATGAACAATTGGTTAAAAAATATTAAATAAAAGTTTTTCATTAGAAACCATTTTTGTTATTATTAAATTTGTAATGTTTTTAAACCATTTAAAAAAAAAAACCGTTTTAAATCATTGCAATGAAAACACACATAATTAAAAAGACAATGCTATTGACACAGCTCTGCTCATAATTGTTTAAAAAATTAAAAATTAGTTTTTATAAAATCTATTTGAATTTAAAAAAATCTTTTGAAAAACTCAAAAGTGTTAAAATGTTAATTTTTGTTAAGATTTAAATATTTTAATTTTTTTAAGGGTAAAAAGATTTAAAAAGTTGTCCTAGGATAATGGGGCCGGCTGCAGCCACTGTTATAGGTAATCTGATATTTTTCTGTAAGCAATGATTAATCATTGCTAAAGAAAAAAAAGATTCTAAGCCAAGTTCAGTTAATAGTGTTGCTTTGTCAATAATATATATGTCATATTATGGTAAAATATTTACATATGCATTCGATATTTTGTTTAATATTGTATTTGTTTTCTCGTTTTTTCCTTTATTTTTCATGGATTTTCTATTTATTGTGAAAATTTATAGGAAAATCAAAAAATGACATCCCTTAACTACTTTAAATACCTCCCCAGATAGATTGCCTTTTAGAAAAAGTGCTATTGTAAATCTGAACAAAATTGCTGGTTAGAAACGTCCATAGAAAAAATAAACATCACTATTAAATCAATACATTCCTCGCTCTGCTCAGAATTTAAAATTTAATGACAATATAAAAAAAAGACGAACACACTTCGCACGATTGGTGGGCCATTGTTGCAGGTGTAGCTTGTATGTTGTAGTTGGGCAGGTAGAGTTTAAATTGAATGTATGTCTATACGCAACAATTAACTATTACAAATAAAACATGATTCTTAGTGGAGTTTTGTTAATAGTATTGCTTTCAAACTGAGATATTAAAATTCTTATAAAAACACAATTATTTACCACAAAGTACGACTTATAGTGGATCCGCCTATTATATTTTTTAGTATTTCTGTTTGGTCAAATAATTTTATCCACAGAGTACTACTTAACAAAAATCATACAAAATACCTTGTAAAATTAAAATGTCTATAAATAGCTCAAAAAGGCCATAATGTTTTACCCTAACCACGTATTTTAAAAGGCAGATATAAGGTTCCTGTCCTAATTTTTATAAAAATTTTAAACTGAATTATAACAGAATTTTAAATTAAAATCATTATAATTTTTGTAAATTTTCCCATTTTTCCTAAGTTTTTTTACCATTTATTATGAAAATCCATGGATAAATTAAAATAATGAGTAAAGTCCACCCCAGGAAAATTTCCATTTAAAAGAGTGTTTAACTTGAAAATTTGATCAAAAATTATAGTAGAAATGTTGTTCCCAGAGATAAAGACTGTAATATTACGATTTTTAAATAATGCATTTCTTACATTTTCACATATTTAAGAGTTTATTTTGCTGAATATAAGTGCTGTAATTTCCGAACTCTGGTAATGACTTAATGTTTCTTACTTGATTTATTAATTTTTAGATTCTGAGTGAAGCGATGAATGTATTGGTTTTGCACATGGTTATCTACGTGGGTTGGAACATGTATCTTATTGCTTATTGCATGTCCACAAATTATGTTCCCCTTCTTTAACATTGGGGTATATATATGTATCATTTTCATGTTTTTTTTATAATTTGGGCAAAATTATTGCTTTTACAGACTAGATACATACCACCAAAGTTAAAGATCATGAAGTTTTTTCATAATGTTGCATATGTTAAATATATTAACTATTATAAAGTAACTAAAAAATAACCGGTAATTGAGTTAAAATATATTTGAAAACTACAAGTTTTTTGACTAATATAAAATTAATAATTATATTAGATTAATATTATATTATACAAATTATATGTATACTAACTAATAATTAGGTGAATACTGAAATTGTATGATATTCACATATAATTTTAATATCAGCCTGGGTTTTTTCAAACTTACTGAATTGTGTGTTTAATTTAATGTCTGTAGTAGATAGGCTGAACAATTTTTGACATTCAATTTTTTACAGATAACATTTTTTAATTTTAAATACATATGATTAAAAAAACCTTATTTTTAAAATTTTTTTATTTATTTGGCAATATACCCGCCATCTTGAGTTACCATTTAGTAATTTGTCAGGTGACATAAGATATTTCTATGGTTAACTAATACTCAATAAATCCATAAATTACTCTTTATTTAGTATAATTATATTAACCTTAATAATATAACGAAATAATTGTTTATACATATACTTTATATTTACCTTTATATATATAATACATAAATTGTTTATAACATTGCAGTATTATTGGCAACATTTAATTTTTTATATTCTTATTGAATTCTTATTCAATCTCCCTATTTTAAATCTTCTGGGTTGTTGTTTTGTGCTTTTAACATTGAAATTTTTTCATTGTTCGATTTATACCCCATAGTACAACCAATGACAACATTTCATCATTGTTGCAAAAACTAAAGTCAAGCTCCACAACTCTGGATGTAACTCGTGTAAATAATCGTGGTATTATCATTTGGATTTTGGTGACAATGTTAAAACGTTATTGATATTATCATACGAAGAAGTATCTAACACATCTAGTGTTGTACATGGATCGGGGGCCATTTGTTTTTTATGAACTAATATACGGCATGTTCCAACCTGAGTAGAGAACTGTGGTTTTATAATAATGTGTATTATTGTTATTTATATATACTGTATACAAAAATTCTACCAGAAATCTTGCTCTGAAATGTTTAGACCTTTTCTGAATGGGAATTTTTGTGGGGTGGTACTTTAGAGAGGTAATTTTTTGATTTTCTCAGGAGTTTTCTTATCATTATTTATATCATTCACTACACTACTAAATGGGAAAAACGTGAAAATTTACAAAATAATTTTTTTTTTAATCTGTAAACAACTTATCCATCAGAACACTTGTTCTGATGTATGAAGAATAGCATAATTTCCAAAAGAAAATTTTATCCTGGTGATACACACAGTACCTCAAAATATATTGAATTTTTGTCCAGTGATACTTTATTTGAACTATGCATAAACCCTTTCCAATTATTTTTAATATTGACTATTTTTTATGTAATATATATTTTTATTTTATTTTTATTTAGGTGCTTTAAAAGGGGCTACAAAAAAAAAAAAAGAAGACCCAATATTGACCGATATTGTTAATGGAAATGTGAAATTGAAAAATGATGATGCTCCACTGTGCAATAAGCCTATTGATGAATTAGTTAACTTCATTGAAGGCAATAAGGCAACTAATGAAAAACGAGCTGCCAAAAAAGCTAGACGTCGAGAAAAAAAGGTACATTAATAGCAAGTTAAAAGTAATGATCAATAAATTAATATATATGTATACATTTTTTTTTTTTAAAAAAAAAAGGAGGAACTAGAGCGAATAAAAAAAGAAGAAGAAGCAGAACGTAAAAGAATTGAAGAAGAACATAAAAAACAAGAAATGGAAAGACTTAAACGTGAGGAAGCATTAAAAAAAGAAAAGAAAAAAGGAAAAAATCAAAGCAAACAACAAAAACAAAATCAGCAACCAAAGCAAACTACAAATGGTAAAACTCAACAATTATCAAAGCAGCATATACAACAAAGTACTCAATCTTCTAAAAAGAAGAACAAACAACTTCAGGGAAATAGTAAAGAAACTAAATTAACAAAGAAAAATGATAAAAGTAAAAAAGATAATGTTGAGCATGAAAAAATGGTTACAATAAATAGAGACTCTGATAGTTCCAAAGTAACAATTACTTTTAGAGGAGCAGTGGAAGATGATGTTTTATGCACTTTATATGATAATGAAGGTAAACACATTATTAATAATTTAATAAAATAAATTATATAATAGTTAATTAATAATTAATAATTAATTATAATAAACAAAGTTCCTCTCTAGTGAGTTTTCTTGTATAAAAATATTGGTATATATTACACCCATTATTTGAACTCTGATCACCACATTAATACTACAGTTAGTAAAGCTCTCAATGTTTTAGTTTTTTAAAAACGCTCTACATTAATGTTTAAGTCTGCTAACTTGTTTTCGTTTTTTTTTTTTTTTTCTCTCAGTTTGGTCTATCTTGGAATACCGCACAATTGTTGGCATCCATACCTATCTAAAAATTGTATTATATTAAAAGGGGGTTCAAAGTAGATTTCTCTTCTATGCTGCATATTTAATAAAAAATAGAACCCCCTCAACATAATTACTCACTCATCAGTTTAAACTCAAACATACCCTTACTCTAAATTCTTTGTTCTAACACAATCATGTCTATTTCATCTGTTCATAATGACTCTACTTGAAATTTTATCTGAAATAAAACTACTTGTCTCTTCTTATAGTTTTAGAAACTACACCACAAAGTAGTAGAAACTACTACACAATAATATGTTTTATAAATTTAAAAGGATTGTTCCATGTCTACAGAGTTGATCAGTGTGTACTTTAAGTTAATAATGTTGTCAGTTTCTTTAATTAGTGGATTTTCATCTACTAAATCAGTTTTGCTGTCTGGTATTTTAAAAATTGTTGACAATACTTTATAGTTTATACCCAGTGTTTTTGTCAGACTTTTTAAAATTTTGTGTTTGTTGATTTACCCTGAGGAGTTGATGCTTGCAATTTCTTGTTTTTCTAAAACAATATTTATAACGACAACCAAATTCGATAAAGGTTTCCCCCTTTTTTTCATTAAAATATGTTAGAGCTGAAGATAAGAATGAACAATTTTATTTAATAAAAACTAAATTGCCTTCAATTTTTCTTCCACTCATAATTGTTTTTATATTAAAGCATCTTTGGGATCAAATTTTTCTATAATTTGTTTAAATGGTTTTTTATGAATCACAGTAATAAATGATTGCTCGCTATAAACTATATTCTCCAACATGGTATCGATTGGTTCTATTTTTATTCTTGCCGGGCATTTAAAAAATACTTTTGACTGATGAAATAAGTTTTTCAGCTAACAGAATATCGAGAATTTTTATTAATATATATATTAATAAGAATTTTTACAGATTTGCTCAACTACTTAAAGTAAAATTTAAGAGTGTTTTGATAAAAACTGTACATAATTTTTCCTTAAGGTCAATTCATCAGGGATATTTTTAGATGGATAATTTTTAGGACTTCATTAAATTTAAAATTATTTACCCCATGGATTGTAATTAGAAAAATTATTTAAATGCAGGGTAGAAAATTCAAACAAATACAACTTAATATTGAATGTCAACAAAAATAATATTCAATATTTAAAAGTGCGTCCATATTAGAGCAAAATTTGTGTGTGCGTTATATTTTAATCCTGACTCACGCTTGTTCATCAAAAATTAGAAATATTTTGAAAATTTATGTTGTGCATCAGTGCGTTATATTTTGATGCTCAGACGTTATGGCTCAACATTACAAAACATTGTGCTGTAGTAATATTCTGCATCGTGTGCGCAATAATATGTGCTTGATATAATAAAGTCATCCAAACTGAGCACTGCATAATACAAATTTCTTAGATCGTGACCAGGAGACCTACAACCAGTCAGATCGTATGTGTTGTACACTACGAACACAAATGCAACACATAAACATATCTTGCCCGGTCCAAACTTGTCTTATTTTTGACGCACGCATATTCGTCTAAATTCAAAATAGAACGCACACATAAATTTGTTCTAATGTGGACGCACCAACATGTTGTAATCTTTTAACTTCACACTCATAGATAAAACCTGCCCCTGGTTTGGTTTATTTGTTTATTTCTTAATTTTATGTGGGTCTTAATCATTAATTTAATTAACAATGAATAAATGAATAAATTTGCATATTTGTAATCTAGACTTCAAGAATTGATTTTATAATGATATAAATTTTCTCATACTCTAGAATTCTAACTGTGTAAAAAAATATGCAAAGTCATCTTAGCTCTAGTTATAACCATTCATCACACTGTATGCTTAGTTTATTAAATAGTGCTTTCGCATATCATCCATCTTAGTACTAAATGTTTAATTTTATTATACTTTGCATCAAACTCGCTTAATTTTAAGTTACTACAACTGTTATATGTATAAAACTGGTTATGTATTTAATATCTTGCTTACTTAAAAAATTTCCTTATGGGCGTTATTAAACAAATATAATATATGCAAATACATAATTGTTTTATTTTTATTTTAGTATCATTTAAAGGTTTGATATAATAATAAATATTTTATTGTACTGAATCTTTGACTTATATTTCATCAAATCTTTTTGTAAAAAAAAAATTAGCTTTTAGTAGTGATTATCTCTAGAGTCTATCTGGAGCCAAAATCCATTGTATACCTAATTAAAATGCATTGAAACTGACTGCTGAAATTTAAATATTTGTATGTTTTCTTGTTAAGCAAATTAATAATTATAAAAAAATTATTTATATTCAATGTTAATTTTTTTTATCTATTTAATACTTACCTATTTACCTAGGTACTAGGAATATCAGCCCACGTGATAAAAATTCCCTTGAAATTGGAGGTAACTTTTTAAAATGTAGAAATTTTAGAACTGCATGTATCTTAAATTTTCTAAAATTAAAAAGAAAAAAAAACATGAAAAACTTAATTACTTTCCAAATGAATTAGTATCTTATTGAAGATTGATCCCATATATATACGTGTATCCCATCATGTTCAATGGATTTTTCTAGTGCCCTTAATATTAAATTGTTTTTAGATTTTTTTTTTTCTATCGGTTTATCTTCTAGAGGGACATCGATTTGGAGAAAAGACAACTTTTTATTTATTTACTTTAGAAATTTTCAAAATAGTTATTTTATAACAAATATTATTCTGAAAATTGTAAAATATCATACATTCATATCTGATTTATAGTTTCTTAATTATAGCCGTTTTAATTTCAAGAAAATAGCCGTAAAAACACTAGTCAATAGAAGATAAAGAATTTCCATGCTAATTGTAATTTCTTATCGCATAACATGTAATTTTTTTAACATTTATTGTTTTCACGCTTAATTAAAATATCTATAACTAAGAAATTATTCATCGAATATGAATGTGTGATAAATTAAAATTTGATTAATTATATTTTTACATAATAGCTATTTCGAAAATTTTTTAAAGTGAATAAAGTTATTTTTTTTTTTTTATACTAAAGGGATGAAAATAAAATTTTATTATTAACATTGCTAGAAATATCCATTGAACATATTGGGACACACTGTGTATATATGTTTATTTTACTAGTTTTATTTCATTAAATTAGCAACAGTTATTCACTTAAAAGTTGTATAGTGTTAACTTATATAGAATTACTTATGTTTAAATTCATAGTCTTACCTCTTGAATCTTATTTTGATTATTATTTTTAGCTATAAAAGCAATTCAGCGATTATGTGATAAAAATAAACAATCTCAAGATCAAATCGAAGAAAAACCAAACAAAAAAAAAAGAAACCGTAAGAAGAAACAAACAGAACAATTGGAAACTCAACTTAATCCTAAACCAGTTGAAAGTGTGTTAATCACAAATAAAAATGCACCCAAATTACCGACAAATATGAAATGGTATTGTTCACCAGATGTAAATATTACACCAGTGCCAAAAACAACAAATACTATTCAGCCACAACCTAACACAGTGTTAATAAAACGAACTACTACTACTAATAATAATAACAACAAAGTATTTGCTCGTCCTATGCCTCCACCGTCTCAGCCTTTGCCACTTACAAGTCCAACCGCTATACAAATAAATGAAGCAGTTAATAAGATATCATCATCATCAGCTCCTATTGACATTGATAAATTACAGTTACCACCTGGAATTACTATAACTAAACTTGACCCTAGTGATTACAAACCACCAAGAGATATCCAACAATCAACTGAAAAGGTATATTGAAATACAAATATGAGTCAAATCAATATTATTAAATGTTGTTTAATATTGAATTTTATAAATAAATTTTAGCCTAAACCAACATTACAATTTCCATTTTCCTCTTCTGCTGCAGTGGCTCCATTCAGTATGCAACAAAATGCTCAAAATAATGTTGTTGTTGTTAAGACTGATGGATATGATGAAACAGCTGGTAACTAAACCAATTTAAATACTATATGTTATAATAAGTAATTGTTCATATATATTCATAGAAAAAAATGTTTTATTTTAAAATTAGGTTTTATGTATATTTTTATAAAAAAATATTTTATTAAGAGATTAAACAATCTAATTAATAAATTATATAGGTTATGGGTTAACAGGTACAAATGAACTACCAAGGTATACAAATTATATAATTGTTTTATAAAATATTACTAACTATAAAAAATAATGCATTTGGCAGAAAAAATGTTTTATTGTATCTATCTGTTGTTAGATATGGCTGTTTAAAAAAATAATATGTAGATGTCACAAGTTCCTGTCTACTCTTTTTTGTCAGTTAATTGGTATATTTAAATCCAGGAATGCCATCACAATCTTTCTTTTTCGTCTGTTTCTCATATATATATTGTCTGTTAGGAAGCATTCTGGTTCTATCATTGGTAACTATGTCAATCTATTAGGTTTTGGATCGGCTCAGGAGACAAATTTTTTATTTATTCTATTGACTAGTATATTTTTAACTAACTAACTATTCTTTCTCCATGTATGCCCAAGCCATTTTAACTGTTAGACTCTAATAAAGGGGAATATGTCTGACATATTAAAAAATCTTTTTATATTATTGATATATCTAATATCTAATTAAAAGAATGTGCCTATTTTTAAATATTTTATGTTGTCCTATAATATGATACTGAAATATTAATGAAATAATACATTTTACCCTTTCACTACTTGTACTGAGGCATACAGTTTTAAATAATAGATATAGACAATTAAATGCAAATATATTATTATTTCTTGTTACTTTATTTTATTATATTCCAATAATAATAGATTCTGGGAGAGTAAGGGTTAAAGATACACCATTTTTTTAGACAAAAACTAGTTTGTTTATTATTTGATATTTGCTTATTTATTTATTTGTTGTTGTTTTTTTTTTACAACTATTATTATTGTTTGTTCTTAATCATTAATTAAACATACAAGTCATGTTTAGTTTGGTAATATATCTCAAATCAAACTAAAAAAAAAAGGGTTGATATTGCTGATGTACATGCAGTGCCCGCAAAAACCTAGGTGTCCAGGTGTGTGTTGCACACCTGCCCAAGGCCAACATTCTTCTATAATGAATTTTAGATTTCTAAGCGTAGCGAAGATGTATTGGTATTACTATATTGTGTTTTATTTCCTGTCTAAACACCTTTTCTACCAAACAAATTTGCTACAGTCAAAAAATAAATAATTTTTTTTTTAGTTGAATTTTGTACTTAATTTGTGTAATAGAGAGGTAATTATTTAATTTTCCAATGGGTTCTCATAATAATTAGGAAAAATCGGAAACAAAATTATAGTAAAAACAGAAAACTATTTTTGGAGCACTATTTCATTATTATAAATGAGTATAATTTATGTTTTCTACTACCAGAAATCTTGTTATAGTCAAAAGACTTTAAGTGACTTTTTTTGTTACATTTTAGATCTAGTTGGTTAGTATGAAAGAATTTTTTGATTTTTCAACCAGTTTTTATAATAATTGGGAAAAACAAGAAAAAACTTGGTTTGCGGCATTAATTCTGTTATTTTCAATTTGGTTATTTGTTGTGAATCAGTTAAAAATTATTGGAGATAGCTGAAATTTCGAGCTATTCATAGACAATTTTAACTAGGAATTAATTAATTATTCATTCAGTTATTTTGCTTGTGTTTTATTTGATGAAGTAATGAAGTTAGAAATGTTTTGTATCAAAATATTATTCAAAATTTGTAATTATAAAAAAAAAATTACTTTTTAATGTAATAAGAGAATTAATACATCTATAAACACAAGTTTAAACAACATTTTATTAAAATTAATGTCACACAAATTTATTTTTTAGAATGGAGTGGTGCTGAGAGTAAACGTAGTAGACGTCGTAAGAAAATTAATGGAACTAATATAGATGACACAAATTCAGAAAACATTCAACCTGGTTTTACAATTACCAAAAATTTATCAACAAGAAGTCCATGTAATGACGAAGGTAAGAACATCGCTGGACAAATATCAACTAACACACCACGAACTATGCCGTTGCCAGTGATTATTCAAAGGCATGGTGGTATTGTTACTATAAGAAATCCACTGTACCAGCGCAATGATGATGCAATCCTGACTGAGACTAATGATTCACGAGTTGATGGTGGCGACGACGACGACGCCAATCCTTCTGGTAAGCGAAGACGTCGTCGCCGTCGGGCTAAGGGCGGCTCCAAACAGACGGATGTTGAGGGTGAGCTTTGCTGATGTCTTCCCTAATTTCCTAAACTATTAAATCCTTTATTCATTTTTTCCTCATACGTTATGTAAAATAGCAACAAGCTTTATTTAATTTTGTATTAATATGTCAACAAAGTACAAAGTATTATTACTCTTGTATAAAATATAATTATTAACCAAAAATAATTTTTTTTTTAATAAGTGACACTTGTATAAAAAAAAAATACTATAATTAAAAAAAAAAAATTGTATTTGTGTTATTTATAAACTTAATCTATGATAATAATAATATAAAACAACTAAAACAATTTTATGTTTAAAACAAATTCTATAAATCTCTGAGCAATAAAGTAATTATATTCTTTCTTCTTTTTTTTTAATTAGATCTGATGAAATATATATAATTTATTTTTACTCTAAATTTGAATCACTAAATCTTATTATTTTTGACTCCGATAGTTTTTTGACTTATTTAAACAAATTAATTATTTTTAAAGTGAGGAGACTTATAATTTTGTATGTAGTATAATTTACTGGAGTATTCAATTATGTTTAATTATCTTTAAAAGTTCTCATGTAATTGTATATTTCTCAATATTCATGAAATGATTTTATTTTATAGTAATAATTATCATTTTATCAATTTAATTAAGTTGGAATAAAAACAAATTATTATCTCAAAACTCTAAACATTGAACTGGTAATGTGTTCATTAAATATTCCATTTATTTTTTTTAAATTCTAATCAGTGTAATTAGTGTTTTTTTTAATTTATACTATATTTAAATGTTGGAGTATTGTATTCAAAATATTAAAATATACTATATAGATTTTAAATTTAAAAAATTAAAATACAATCAATACCCAATTTAATAGTATTTATTCGAGCTGTTTTTTTTTTTTTTTTTAATGGTCTATTAATATAATAAAGAGACCAATAGTAACTAAATTATAAAACACTCTTACAATATTAGATTAAAAGATTAAAATTCTACTATAAACTTGTATTATTTCTACCCCAATTATTAATAAATACCTATTTAATTGTAAGGTTTTTGAAATGAGTACAAAATATATATCCAATGAGATGTAAATAATTTAGGCATGAATAGGCTGCTTTTTATGGTGATGGCAATTTTAGCCCTGATAATTAATTATAAAACTTGTTGCATGCTTGTTTTTGCAGCTTTTTTTATTATTATTATTTTTTTTTTTACAATAATATTTCCTATGCTTTTTTTTCGTGTTTTGATTTGCATTTAATTTTAAATATATTTTTATAATGAAAAAATTGTATACATATAACTTGTGTAATTTTTCTACCAGTTATGGCAATTTAAAAATAAAAATATTTCACTGTGTTTGAATATTGGACAAAACATTTTTTTTTGGTTGTACTTAATTAAATATGGACAATAGTATTTAATATCAGTCCAATTTTCAAAATATTATTTTTCTTGTTTTTTTTTTTTATTATTATTATTATTATTATTTTAGTATTTGTGACTTAGAAAAAACCCATGATCATTATTCTTTAGGTAGTTCTAGGAATCTGCTTTTATGTTGTTGTATCAAAGATACAAGTTGAGTTTTTCTTTTGTTTTTTTTTTTTATTAATTTTGTGAAAATAATGTTGACAATTATATATATTATAAGTATTCTTACTTTTTATTTCTTTGTAGGCTTTTTTTTACTGACAAGCATTTTCCTACAATAAAATTAACAACTATTTATATATTATATATGTATATATATATATATATATATATATATATGTATATATATATATATATTATATATACATATATGTATATTAAAATACAAATAAATAAAAAACAAACAAACAATCCTTTTATACAATATAAATTGCTTGATGGTTTTGGATTTCACACTGGCACATGTTGATATTTTATCATTTTTTGAATATATTATATTTGTACAAATTCATATAGCACATTGCTTGTGTGGGATCTATTTAGTTAATTCCGAATTAATTTGGACCGTGCTTTCTCGATCGTTAGCTTATATAAATCATGAAATGTAACATTTTATCTATACCTTCAAATGGTAATATTTTTTTTAATTTATAACAAATACATTTAAGTAATACCTATTACATTATAAATGTTTGATATGAGCAACTACAACTTTCTTATGTATAATCCTAACTTTAAAGACAGCAAGACTTAATAAATATAACAAAGTATAGACTTATTGTATATTTAAAGTATGATCGAGAAAGTAAATCTCCAAAAATGAGTGTGTGTTTGTGGCCGTTTGCAGAAAGCGTGTTCGAGCCAAAAGACATAGACCTGGAGGATGGAGAGATGGATGATGATGAACGAGAATTAGAAGCATTTAAGCGGTTTTGTTTGCAGTCAGTACCTCCACAGCGCAAAGAAAAGGTACACCTGAACATCAAGGACATTGTTTTGAAGAAAAAGAGTACCGCCGCGGCAGCAGCTGCTGCAGTTGGGTGTGTTTAACATTTAATATTTTCCACTGCAATTACCAATTATGTTGTGTTCTTTAGATCCCTCATTATTTTCATACTCAACTAAATCTTACAGTGTTTCATCGTCTCTCTTGAAAACCCTATTTTTCTCTTTTTTTTTACTTGTTGGATAATATGATCCATATTATAAGTGAAACTTACAATTTAAGCAATTTTTAAAGTTTAGACCCAAACGTAAGATAAGTTTATTTTTAAATGTTACTATTATGCATGATTTAATTTGTGCTCTATCAGTAAATAATTCAGGCAATTATTGATGTAGAACCAAAACCATTGAGCACGTTTAAAATGATTGTATAATATTATAATAAACGGTATTTGAATATACATGTATATTGCATATACATTCTACATACATCAGCGCCTGTTATTAGTATTATGTTAAAAATCAACAATTATCAAATAAATATACATTTGGTGTAAATATATATAATATACACTGTACAATATGATCTTATGTGTATCATGTTTTCTCTTTAATGGTATAGAGCTATAAAACACTAATAGTTTATTAATTTATCCTTGATATTTTATTAAATAAAAATTCATAAACATATTTCTTTTTATACAATAGAGGTATTTTGAAACTGACAAACTGGTATCAATTAATTAGTGGAGAAGCATTGTGAAAACAAATCCCTCACTACTGTCAATTTAAATTGGAAAAAAAAAATTTTAAAAAAAGGTATCAATCAAAGTTGTAGAAATTTGTTAATTCCAAATGGAATAAGTAGGTATTGAAGCCATTTAAACTTAAACATTATAATATGTTTAATTTTATCTAATTATTATGTATACCTATTTTATTATATATGATTTTATAAATGGCATTTTTATAGTACATTAGTCCTTAATATAACAGTTAATAAACTATGTTTGTATTAAAATATCAACAAGAATTTGTTAAGGAAAGTGTTAAATCCATGTACAGCATTTTTAAAATAAAATAGAGAAGACATATTTAATGTACTAACAATTTTAGGATGAAACAAATTTTAAATGTTAATTTTTATGAAAAAAATTCTAGAATAATAATTTTTCATTAATCCAAAGTGTTTTAAATAATTAGAATTTAACAAATTTATTTCCAAGTAGTTATTACCCACCAAAATAAATACTTATGCATTTATTTCTTAATATAAATAGTAAGTTAAATTTTTATTATATTTGTTCATTTTGACGAAAACTTCAAGTTAAACTCATAGTTTCTCACATATTAATTTAAAAAAAATGATTAATAAAAAGATTTCTCTTTAACTGATAAAAATTAACTTGTGAATATCTCCAAGTCAAAAATCAATATTTTTACAAAAAATATACAACATGTTGGACAATTTATGGCCAAATAAATTGTAATCCAACTGTACATTTTAAATAATCGTACTAGTATTTAGTTTTTTGTGTACTTTTGTATTATCTTGACTAACGAAAAAATGTTCAAGGCTACCTATCAATTACCATAGACATATTATGTCTATGCTATCTACTACTATACACCATATCCTAATTAACAAATATCCAGGTACTTAAGGCCCGGATGGATAGTGTGGTCACTCATAGTGGTACAACAGTGATACATTTGCGACCAAAAACATTATTACTAAGGCAGAGAAGTTTTAAGAGGTAACATTGGAAAAATATGCACTCAAAAAATTAAAAATATTCATTCAACTCATGTGCACAAAAATATGTATATTTCAGAAAAATTATTTAACAAATTAATTAATGTAATAATAAAATAAAAAATTATATAAATATTAAATATACTAATATAAAGATAGTTTCGAAATTACTTTATTCTCATTTGAAAAATTATTGCATTACATAAATAATGTTTTTTTAATGTACTCTATATCGAATGATCGCCGATTGTTAGCCAATATGGTTTTATAACGAGAAAAACTTAATTTAACGTCTGTAGATGTTATTAGTGAGTATTTATAAAATGTTAAATCATTTTCAATTAAATCTTCTAGTAAACTATCCATTGATGAACTTTCTCCATTATTATTTTCAATATTACAGCGAACCCATAACTTTTATCCAAAACTTTGTTAAATTTATTATTTATTTTCATTCCAACATAACCAGCAACTTCATCCAATTTATCAATCCAATAACGTCTTTTCTAATTTGATCGATAGTTTATAAATAGCAATCATTCATACACTAATGTCATTAAAAGTATATTTTTCAAGAAACGATGGGAATTGAACATTAGAAATTGTATGTAAAGGAATATGTTTGCACATATCATAACCATACATAAATCATGTGAACAAATTGATTTTTTGTTTGGTGGCTGTGGTATAAATTGTTTTAGTAGGTTTATTTTGACGTGCCTAATAATCGTGTTTATTCGTTTTTATATGTTGAGTTACTGTGAATTATTTTTAGCGCTAACCTAAACTAACTTCACAAATATTACAGTAAAGCATAGTACTATCAGTAGCAAATAAATTTTCACCAAACTGTTTCACATACTTATAAAATATATTTCCATTTATTTTTGGCATTATGTGAACAGTAAAGAAAAAAATATAAGTATAATAGTATAAAGGCAAACAGCGAAGAAACGGCGCGAAGTTACATATCAGACAACACTGAAAATCATACATTACCGATGAATATGTCAGATAATGTTGACATAAAATGTAGTATATATACCTAATTGTCATTGGAAATTCCTTAGTAGTAATAAGTTCTCGATAAAAAATGCATTATCCGAATGCCCACCTAAAAGTAAATATTGAATGCGGGTACCTATGATAATAACCTACGTACATAATTATATAGTCTACATGGACACATACCATAAAGTTTTTAATTAATCAAAAATTGGGTAATTTTTCCCTCGAAAATGTGTGAAATAACAAAAAATTTACATTTTAGTTGAAAATCGTCAAAATATGCAGGAAAAAAAAATGTAATATTCCACCTTTGAGTCTTTAGATATATTTATAACTTGATTTGCTATGAAATAGTAGCTCAGAAAAAAAAATGCATATTCTATAACTTCTAAGCCCCTAATTATTATTAACAGTATTTGATTCACTATACAACTACAAACTTACTGTATAATGTATACATATTAGTATAATTTATTATATTTAGTCATGGTGTTATTCCATATTCCATTTTTTAATAAAAACTATCTAATAGTTAATATTAAACACTACAACATCACCATTCGTCGTGTACCCGTAAAAGGTTTAAAATAAAAAAAATATGGTATATTAGGTAGGTATCAAGGTATCAAATCAAAGTAGGTTATAATATCATGTATGTATTAATCATTCAATAAAAAGTAATAATAAAATGTATTTGCCAAGTATTTTGAATTTGAGGCACGAGTTTGCCCATCATTTTATAGTAGTCGTTCCTTAGATCATATCTTTGAGTTTTGTTATCAGCCAGTCACTTTTATTCCCCGCAGATATAAATAATTAATTAAATTGCTTCCAGCTGTATGATTTTGTCATTTTGAGACCTATCAATTTCATCAATTACAAATGTTATTTTCATTGTTGTATGAAGATAATATCGTAATATTAATTATAATACAGTTTATATAGTACAATTATTATTATTGATTTTTCAAGTAATTTTTGCAATAATTGGACAATACCGAAATAAATGAAAAATGTAATAAAATGAATTATTTTATTGTATTCAATTTTGGTTTTATGTTGATAATAAAGTTAAAAACATATCTAGACTTGAAATTTTGATGAAAAATTATATTTGTTTTACATACCCGTATTAATATTTTGAAATCATTTGAGCCATTTTTAAACTATATTTATGAATATTTTAATTTTTCGATTATTAACGTAATTTTTATTTGGTAGGTACTCTGCGGATAGAATGTTTGAAAATTTGACATGAGGTTCATTACAAGTTAAACTTACCGATCAAAAGAAACAAAAATTAATTTTTATGCATTATATTTTTTTTTCCGGGATCCAGTATTTGCGAATGGATCAAGGATCGAGATTAAATGAAATTAATTTTTTCGTTACCTAATTAATTGGTGTCATCCATAATAATAGAATAATAAAATATGTGAGCTTTATGCATACAAAATGCTAAATGTCATTTACAAAATATATATAAGTTGAAAAAAAAATTATTAGCTACCTATTGTTCATGTCTCAAGACTCAAATGACAAGAATGATTCATAATAAAAATGTATCATGTTGATTTTATTATGATCGTCATGACATGTAATATGAATGAAGATTGATGAGTTTTGAAATCAATAATCAGTAAACAGAACGATAATAGATAAGTATACATAAACCTTAGACTAATAGACACAAAATGATTACATACCGGCCATGAAAAGATAGAGGGCGCTGACTGATTGACTGTAAATAATTGTACACACCATAAAATCACAATAAAAATAAGCCATTACCTATATTCTGAATATTCAAGTATCAATTATACTTAACTGCCCGATACTCCAATTTAATATTATGAGCACTTACGACCCACTTGTTAGCACAAAATACAAAATTATATACAATTATTCACTGTAAAACCGTTGATTATGTGACGTGAGTACAGTAAGCATACGATAATTTGCATTAGCGTATTATTGTAAAATCAGTACATTTGGTGTCAAGGTGGGCTACATCACTATGATATGTTTTCACGTAGCTCGTAATGCTGTGGTCATACGAGTTTCGTGTCTATTATTATAAGATCTATGATATATGATCTAAGGACCGTTCTTACAATGTCCGGTTAAGTGGCCGTAAAACTGTCCAATATACTGTGGCGGATAGATAATAAACAATGTGTATATTGATAACGCGCTTGATAAAATTTAAAATTATTGTGCAGCTCGTTGTCTGTTTTTGAGCTCATATGTATTAAAGATATTACGGCATATGCCCCATCTCCTATACTGCCTGTATTATAATTAAAGGCTGAAGTGCATTTAGACTATTGCATTGTGATCTTTGCAGTGTCACCATATATACATAACAAAAAAATGTACATCTATAAAATAACATGTTTAATATGGCCGTGATTTTCTAGAAGGTCACACTGTTGCATTATAGTTTCTTGGGTTTCTCAAATTGTCGATTAGTCTTGGATTTGAATTTTAATCTTCAACGAACATTAACGAAAATTGTTGTAAATTGTAATTTGTAATCTCGACCATCTCGTAATTTTAAAATTATTATTGTTGTGTATTAATATTATTTATTGGTTTCTTTTTTCAAGTTATATAATTTTGTGAATAATGATTTACCAATTTTATAGATAAATTAGTGACTTATATATAATTTAAATTAACATAAATAATTAGTTATAATTAATACGGGTATCTGTTAAGTTTTAAGTATTATTGAGAATGTAAGTAGGTTTCTATATTGTACTTAGTTTTAATGATTATGGTTAGAATTGTATTAATAAGTTTACTGCCGTGAAGGTTAAAATTGGTATTCATATGTTTTATTTCGTAGGCCTAACTAGTTAAAATTAATTTTAATATCTTGCTTTGAGTACCTATATTGGTATTCACTTTAATTGTCACTCGAGCTTTGAGGGACAAAAATGTTGCCTATATTTACGATTTACTACATATTTACTGGCCTTAAGATCATATCAGTATTCAATATAATTTAAAATATTGATAATAAAGAGAAAAAAACACTTATAAAACTACCTATTCTACTTTGTGAGGACATGTCAGAACTTAAATTTTCAACTCTTGAAACCAGTATGTTTGTCAAATAGTGTAAAACAGTTGGACTGTGTTTCTATACATTTAAATTTTGTGATTACTGGAGTAGGGTTTGTGTGTAATATTATTAACTGATTATAGATAAATCTTCAAAAGACTATCAAATTTTTCACATTATTGATAGTAAAAATTTTGTACTTTTAGTACTTCAAATTAGTTCCTGTAATTAAATTGTATTAGTTATAAATAGAGATAGGATCTCGATGTTAATAATATATAATATGAATTGTAAAATTAATAGACAATGGCTAGTAAACATTAAAATCTTAAGTTTAATTTACAGTAGAATAATTTCTGCAAAGAACAAAAATTTTGTTATTTTGCATACCTACTTTCCGTTACACTGTACAATTAAAATGGGTTTGATATTTTCAAATAGAAGATCTGTCTGTTAATATTTTTTTATATAGTTAACTGCTGTATAACAAGAATAGTTCTGTATCTGTATCGGTACGTTATAATTTTAGTTATAATAAACCCCCCTCCCCCAATAATAATAAATTGTTATTAATATTCAAATTTTCTTTAAAAACTAAAATTTAAGAAAAATATGCTCCCATATAATACAAAAACTACAAAAAATATACTATTTTATGAAAAATTACCTAAATACCTAAAAACTAAAAAAAATGAATTTATAGCTAAAAATGCAAAATAAAATTAGTTTATTCTGAATCAAGGGAGCATAAAATTAATTTTTTAGCTAAGATGGCATTTTATAGGATAATGTGGGAAAACAAATGCAAAACTCATCAACATCCTATCTTTAGTTATAAAATATGTATATTATTTAACTATTAATTTTAAATTTTGTTTATAACCTTTAGAAGTGAAAACTAATAGTACCTAAAGTTATTTTTAGAGAATAATTAAGAACTTATTTTTAGTTGTTTTATCAATATGGATTCTGTAAGAGTAGCAATTCGTGTTCGTCCTCTTGTAAAATCTGAATTGGATCGTGGATGTTCAAATTGTGTGTTGGCTGATCCTATTAATCATCAGATAATTGTGAACAATAATACTAACTTAACATTTACATTTAATTATGTATTTACTCCTGAACATTCTCAAAATCAAGTATATGAATTAGCAGTTGAAGATTTAGTTAAAAAATTATTTAGTGGTATGTATACTTTTTGTTTACATAAATTATATTTAACAATAATATATATTTTAAATATTTAATACTGATAAATTTAATTTCCAATTGTACTTTAGGATACAATGTAACCATATTAGCATATGGACAAACTGGATCAGGTAAAACACATTCAATGGGTACAAATTTTGTTGATAATGATACAGTAGAAGAAAAAGGTATTACTCCACGAGCTATTCAACATATTTTTAACGAAGTTCAACAAAAGACAGACCAGGCTAAATTTTCCATTAAAGCATCATTTATTGAAGTATTTATTTTTTTATTATAATTACTTATAGTTAGAAGTTTTTAAATTTTGTTAAGACATAATTTATACATATGTAAACTAAATTTTATATTCAAAATAATTGTCATTATATTTTTATTTAGTTTATGAATACATTTACAGCTTTATCAAGAACAAGTATATGACCTTTTATCCCCTAATAAAGCTATTCTTGAAATTAGAGAAGATGGTCATGGAATTTGTATTCCAGGTTTAACTGAAATAAGTGTAAATGATTTTTCCTCGACTCTTCAATGTTTAGTTCAGGTAATATTTACTATTTATTTTTAATATTAACAATTTCAGTACTTAATTATGCATTAAATATTAATTAATGTTTGTAGGGTTCTAGTGGCAGAGCAACTGGAGCTACTGCTATGAATGCTCAGTCTTCACGTAGTCATTGTATTTTTACATTGACTGTAAACCAAATTCAAGAAGATGGGTAAATTTTTTTTTTTAATGAAATTATTAACCATGTTCTCAAATGATTATCTTTTTTAGAAATAATACTACAGCTAAATTTCATCTAGTAGATTTGGCTGGATCTGAAAGAAGTAAAAAAACAAAAGCAACTGGTGAAAGATTTAAAGAAGGTGTTAATATTAATAAAGGACTATTATCATTGGGAAATGTTATTACTTCTTTATGTGAGAAATCAGCACATGTTTCATATAGAGATAGCAAACTTACTCGTTTATTGCAAGGTATATTAATCAAGAATTAAAAAAAAAACTTAATTATTTTGCACAAATCTACCTTTTACTGTACAATATTTTTTCTAAAATTATTTTTTGTATACATATATAATTAATAATTTTTTTAATGTGATAATTTAATACTAATTAAAAAATACAAAATTAAAATTAAACATCATTTTTACAGATTCTTTGGGAGGAAATTCTGTTACTTTAATGATAGCCTGTATTAGTCCAGCAGACTATAACATGGATGAAACTGTAAGTACTTTAAGGTATGCTAATAGAGCATTACAAATTAAAAATAAACCAGTTGTCAATAAGGATCCAATTACTGCTCAAATATCTACACTTTCTAAAGAAGTAATAAAATTTAAATTTTACTAACTGCAAACTGTTGTTTAATATTTTATATTTGAATAAAATATTTTAGAACCATGAATTAAAATTGAAGATAGTAGCAATGGAATCAAATGGTGTGGTTAGTTGTCCACCAGAACATAATAATTTGCAAAAAACAAACAAAGAGTTGCAAGAAAAATTGCGAGCTATGAGTCAAGTATTAAGTGAATATATGACTCAAAGTGCATCACTTAATATGAAAGCATTAGTGGTAAATACTTGTCAGTTTATTTTTTTGTTTTTTGTTTACTATGTTAAGTGGGCTTACAGTTAAAAAAAATCAACCATAAAAATATCATTTCGTAGTTCCAAAAATACTTGAGCCTCATTGATCATAGAAACACGAGAAGAAAATTTGTATTTTATTGTTAGCTGATTTTTTATTTTTATGATTGTTTGAAAAAGTTCAAATTTCAAATATAAATATAATTGATTTAAAAAAAAAAATCACAAGTTAACACAACAAAGCATAATTATTGTTCTCGTGTTTATTTTGGTACCAAAATCATATTTCTATGATCAACAAGACCTGAGTACTTAAGCAAGAACAAAACAATGTTTTTTGGTATATTCGACGAATTTACAGCCGCCGTGTACTGCTGTAGAGACTACAGCAGCAGTATTCTAAAACCGGACACTCATTCCACCCCGCACACATAATTATAAACAGTACCATTCTGGAAACATGTTATCTTACTGCCAGCGTGCACAGTTGATTACCAAACAAAAATTATAAAATTACGTAACATTTACAATATAGCCGATAAATATTATTTTATATGTTCGGATTATATTAATTCATAATAATTGTTTCGTATTTTACATTATGAAACTACATATTGTAAAGTTGTCAAAAATCAGTTTGAACACATACAATTTAAACAAATTTTTTTTGAAACTGAAACTCATCTTTATTAGTTGTTTAATTTACGAAATGAACATTTTTTTAATTTAAGTCAGTATGAGACTTTTAAACAAGTAGTTAGTTTGTGATTATGTGCACCCATTACGGTGATGGTGCAATGATGACTCCACTATAATACATTTTAATTACGTTGAAGAAATGTCAACAGCACGACATTCTTATACCAATGAAATGCGCCCTCTCGCCAAAACCGAAACTCCGTAAACTAGTCATTGTGACTGAGATAGTGGTTGTTAGTATAACCTGCCGCGACAGCGGTGATATGGCACACAATGCTATCTCTCTAGTTTTGAATACATTTTAATCTTACTGTGACGCCCTCTTAACTGCTTCTTTTTACCAAAAATCTTGTTCCAATCATTTTATGGGTGGCCTGTGGTAGTAAAATTTGTCTTGTTGATGCATTGGTAATGCCATTTTTCATTTTGCTTGTAGTTTTGGGAAAAAATGGAATATTTATGTAATATTTAATGATTTTTTACTGAATACTTATATTAAAACTTTCTATACATGGGAAATTTTCAAAATCTATCAATTATTTAGCCATTATGATCTTTTAAAATTGTCAAGATTTTTATTTGGTTGTATATTAATAAAATTGTCTTATAAATGATTGAAAATTTGATACAAGTTTCATCATATTTTGTTTTTCTTATGACACTAATTCTATACAAATAATCCAAATTTGTAATTATAATTATTTCGTTATGTAAGATACAACTTATACAATTTTCAATGTTTACATGTTTTACTGAACTTATTAAAGTTCAGTTTTAGTAATAATTTTGTGTAGACATATAAATTACATTTCCCATTATATTATATTACCTTCTATAATGGAACACACATGGTAAAAAGTAAATCAGCTTTTTTTTTTTAAATGTAATTTTGTGAAATTGTAGGCTGAGACTGGGCGTGATACTATGAAAAAAAATCTCGAAGAATTAAAATTAGATTTTGAAAATGCATTAAAATGTGTTAAAGGCAATTCAGAAGAAATACATTCAGAGGAATTAGAAAATATCAAACAAAAGATAAGCTCAATTATGGTAAGCTAAACCAGAATTTAAACTTTAATTTATTTTGATGTCTAATTTAATTTTTAGTAATATTTATAAATTTTGTATTTATTGATAGAACGAACATAACCGTACAGAAGTAGAAATAACTGGTGATGACTATGTAACTGCTTCTGAAGACATGGATGATGCATCTGAGACTGATGGTGAAACTGATCCTACTAAAGAGCAAATGGTTATGGAATCCATACAATTAAATAGAGAACTAAATAAGTTAAATAAGGAACTAGCTATGAAGGAGCATTTAGCTGCTAAATTAATAGAATCTGTATCACATATTGGTGAATACTGCCCAGAAGAAAACACCGAAGAATTGAAAAATAAACTTGAACAATTAAAACAAGAACGTGATCAATTAGAAGAAGCTCTTCGAGCAGCTCAATCAAATACCAATAATTCTAAGTACATTTTATTTAATTTTTTTTATTTTAATAAAATATTTTAACCTATCAATGATTTTTTTAGATTATCAGAACAAAGGCGTAAGAAGTTGCAAGAACTTGAGCAAAAGATTACTAATTTAACTAAAAAATGTTTAGAACAGGACAGAATTATCAAAATGAAAGCTAAAAATGATAAAAAAGTAGAAAACTTAAATAATGAAATTAAGGTGAGTTAAGAATAAAAGATACTCAATATATATATTTATAATAAACATCTAATCTGTGTTGTAAATTAGTTAAAACATGATTATTTCTAATATTTTTGTAACATTTTATGATTTGTTTTTTTAAGAGTATTAAAGTTATGAAGGTAAAATTGGTTCAGCAAATGCGAAGTGAAAATGAAAAGTTTAGACAGTTTAAGTTAGAACGAGATCGTGAGCTTTGTCGACTTAAAGAAAATGAACGTAAACAAAAAAATCAAATGATCCGAATGGAAAGATTACATGATAGACAACAAGCTGCTCTCAAACGTAAATTAGAGGATGCTGCAAATGTCAATAAAAGACTTAAAGTAATATAATTAATGCCTTAACTACTTGTTTTATTTATTTATATTAATAACGTTTAGGATGCACTTGCTGTCCGAAAAGCTATTGAAGTTAAACGCGATGAGGCATTTATGCCTAAAGCTCAACGTATTCAAAAGTGGGTAAATGAAGAGTTAGATGTGTTATTGAGTACAGTTGATGCTGAAAAAACATTGGAACAGTTAGAAATGGATCGAGAAACTATATATAAAATGATGCAAAGATGTGAAGTAATTAAAACTTCATTCAAAAAATGTATTAATGTTTTAAATGGCAATTCATTATTTAAGGAACAACTAGAAACAACAGCACTCACTGATGAATTTAAATATGGGTTGAAAATGGATAAACAAGAAATGGCTGCAGAATTACAATTAAGATCAGCCCAGATAATGGACCTTAGGCAAAAAATATTTGATAGTAATGAAGGTAATTAATTGTAATATCAATATAATATTGGTTGAAATGACTTGAAAATAATCATTTCCAGTTTTGAAAACTCAAAATATCAATTAAATTAAATAAATATAGAAATATATATTTATTTACTTATCTGCATACTACTTCTATTACATTATAGTATTTTCAAACCCCCAATCAATTAAATAAGATTGGGGCTTCTGAAATTTACCCAATTAAAAAAATTCTTAGATTTTTTTTAATCATTTTGTTATGGAAAATACACAATACTATTAGTATTATAAATAATGATGACAATAACTAACAATTTATCTAATATTTAATTTCTAAAAATAAAAATGTCCATCACCTAGCTTTTGTTTAAAATTTATACAATACAGGCCATAATCATTTTATTTGTTTAATTAATAAAATAGTTTGTTAATGTTACAGAACTAATGAAAAAAAATCGTTTTGATCATTTATCAACAATTGCTGATACCAAAACTGCTTTAAAACATGTTTTTCATGTTGCTGCTGATAATCGAAGAGCCATGTTAGAGCTAACAAATCAAATAGAAGAACTACAAGTAAGAAATATTTATAATGATAAGAGAAATTGTTTTATAATAATTTTTATAAATAAAAAATAGGAAATTATATTTTTATTAATTAGTATAATATTGTAATTCTTGCGTAGATCTTAAATGTTATTGATTTTAATAATAAATTAAATTAGCTATTTATTAATAGCAAACCTAAATTGTATATACTATTTAAAAAGTATTGTACAAACTAAAAAAATGAACTCCAAATGCATCAACCAAATCCAAAGTTCAACAATTATGTTCTGTGTTTTTTTGATTGGAAAATTTTTTGGCTACTGTTTTTGGTGGGAAGGTAATTATAAATATTTAAAACTGAATTCCATTAAAAAAAAAAATACAACATTTAAAATAATAAAACAATCACAAAATTTTCCCGTACTTTCTACGTATTATTTATTAATTTTACTCAATTATTAAAAAAACCACAAATAAAACCAAAAGATGACTTTATTGGTTACCAACCAGATTAAAAATTCAACAAGCAAGATCTTTTATTGTTTTTTTATAATTGAGCAATATTTCTGGTAGAAAACAAAAATCGGAAAATTTAATGAAATTGTAACACCATAATCTGCCGTTTTTCAATTTAAATTTTTTTCGTGGTTAAGGCCGTAATATTTTTATGATTTGAGAATAATACATTTCGTTTTTTATAATTTAAGTGTTAGACTGTATAGACTGTATGGGGCAGTTATCTTATTAAAAAAAAAATTTTAATTTAGTATTGTATACATATTATAATATTAATTAAAAAATTATTTTGAATAATTTTAATTTTAGGTAGCTTTACTTGAGGCAAAGGATACTATTGCAATGGAAGAACAAAAATCATTAGACATTATGAATAAAGATCAAAAACAAATGGAACAACTTCAAAAAGAATATGAAGATAATGTAATTAATGTTATCTACTTTAAAAATATACTATCATTACTTTTTTATTAAAACACGTATTTTAGATTTTAGTTTTGCTAAGACAATTAAATGAAAAAGAAAATGAATCCAATGGAGACAATGATAATGAATTTACTGAACGTATGAGGATCTATGATGATCAACTTAGTAAATTTGAACAGCTTAGAGATCAATTAGCTCAAAAAGAAAAAGTAATTTCAGATCTTAGAATACTCGTAAACAACAGTAGTAAACATCATTCCAAATCAAATACAGTTACTTCCCCTATAACTCCAGTAAGTAAAACATTTTTTTTTTTTTTTTTAGCTGTAACTTATTAGTATTTGCTGTTTTAGAAATTCTTGGCTGATGATACTAAAGAAAATGATGTAGACATTACCCCTTTACGTAGACGTTTAGAGAAACTAAAAAGAGAAGTAAGTTAATTTGATTTATTTTTCAATTAATATTAATCTAAACCAATTTTATAATGTTTAGAGCAGAATATTTGAACCTTCGGAAGAACGTGCAAATCGTTTAAACTTAAAAAGGAACGCTGATGGAAAATCTATGTGTCTCTGTATTAAAAATTGTTTAAAAAATATTTGTATGTGTCATAAAAAAAATATGCAGTGTTCCAAATATTGTAAGTGCTCAGAAGCAGTATGCACAAACAGATATTTATCGGTAAGTTTCTTTTGGTTTGTAATTAAAATTTAATAATTACTTGTTAGTAATTCTAATAGTTTTAAAGTAGTATATTATATTAATAAATAATTTGTTACTTAGTGGTTTCTTTATATATTTTATAATTCTGATATTTAAAAATGCCTAGCAATTTCAAAATAGAACATGCCATGAGAGAGTTAAAAACATTGAAAAAAAAAAAAAAACATTCAGTATATAAATACAAGTATTCAGTGTTTCATAAACTTATGTAGTCATTTCTGAACATAAATTGAAATACAGATCATATTGAGAATACAATATTATAAACTACCTATATCACTAAATCAAAAAAAAATGTTAAAAAATATAGCAATATTTTTGTTTCTAGGGACATGAACTTATCATAGAAGAAGAATCTTCTGAAGATGTTTTAAACCAAACATTTAAAAAACCAAAGTTTGTATAAATTCTAAATTGTTTTAAATAAAATGTCTGTATAAATAGCTATATTTATGTATATTTTTAGAACTGAATTACCAACAACTATTATAGAAGACATTTCCAATGAAACATATATTAAAACGGATTAACTTAAATTTTTAATATGTATGTAATGCATATATTTTTGAGAATTTATATTCCATTTTAATTGTGCGATAAAGCAAATTGATTTTTATAATTATTTATAGATAATTTTGTAATTAAGGTGTTAAGGTTTTTATTTTTATAAGATATTGTTTTAAATCTTTTATTATTAAGAATATGAATTTATTTAATAATAATAATACATGTAATTATTGTAATATACCAACTGTTTTAAATTTTTGTTAATTTATTAATCGCCAAAATTGTAAAAAAAAAAAAAATGTATTTGCAAATACACAATAAATCACTATTATTTACTATTTTTACCCTAAACTTTTTTTTTTCATCATCAATTAGTGAAGTCAACTAAGACAGTTTATTTTAATGAGATAATAAGAGACTAGTAGACTGGTTGTAGCTTTTGAATTTGTATTTCTCATTTCTCTTCACTACCATTTTTTAGAATTCAATAAAACTGACAGCATAGATCTAAGAATTGCTAAAAGTTAATTATTCAATTTTTTTTTTTAAAGTTTAGTATAAAGATTTTTGTGTCTTGTGAGGCAGATCTCAGAACATTAATTTAAAATGTATACTCGTCCATGACTAATTAATAATTATGTATTTGTCATCTAGTTCATTTTGGATTCAGATCACAGCGAGATTGGTTGTACTATTATGTTTCTGTTTGTAATCAAATTTTCTACCATTTATTTTGCTCTGATCATCAATTTTACAGGTAGTTTCTGTCCTCTGATTCTGGTAGTTAATTTTATCTAGTCTGTGCTTTATACAAAAGTTATAATATTTACCTTGTAAGTTCCTTAATAACATTTTAATTTTGTTAAATATAATTGTAGTAATCTGACAATTATACTGAATACTTATATTTATATTAGCACTTTCAGACTTAGGTACAATTTTTAAAACATTTAGGTCATTTTTGAACTATTATTTGGTTTTATGTGAAGAAAATTGTTTTGGCCGAGGAATAAATTAAAAATTTAACACTGTTCAGTTCATCTAATGACGGATTAGGCAGACTAATGTACAGTGGAAAAATGAATCACCATACAAATGATCCCTATTAGCCCCTACCCAAATTTAAAAGTGGAATAATATCTTGTCAATTGATTGATGAAAATTAAAAATATCAACACCAAAATGTATTTAAACTAAAATTAATTAATTTATGAAACTTTAATATTTAGGTTGATACTTGAAAATAAAATGTCAGTATACTCTGGCCAGTCAGCTACACCTTGACACATCTAAATAAACAAGATCCCTGCTGTTTTGTGCCCAAATTTCTCCCATTACTACCTACTCACCATAGAAATGCTTGAGAACATGAGTTTTGGTCGCCGCTCAGTGGCATTCTCTCGTTGGCTGGACTATAGTAGTTTTATTCTCAAAAATAATCATACTATCAGATTTTAGAGCAGCTTGTTTCTAAAATTGTCAACAATAAATATATATATATATAAAATGTGACAAAAAAGTTAATAATTCTTAAAACAATTGGTTTTTTATCGAGCATTAATCACCTTGTTGGTGTTATTTTTTGGAACCATTTTTTTCCAATGTGAGTACGTAAAATTCGTGCGTAAAACTTATCAATATTTAGTGAAATATAATATGTGATAGACTACAATGGTAGATGGCGTTACTCTTACAACCGTTATTATAGTAAACAAAATACCGTTCAATACGTTTCGTAGGACTTGATACAGCTAGCGATTATTAAAACAAAGTGGATTTATAAATAACTATAAAAAAAAAAGTAGACATTTCGCATTAGGGTACTTGGTGGAAAGGCGAGAGGTAGTACCAACTTCACATGGCTATGTATGATATATCCAAGATATAGAGTGATATGTCTTCTCTACATTTGTTGCCTATAATAACCCGAATAACTCTTAAACCGAGTTAAATCAATTCAAATAAATTATATTTAAAGCATTTTTTGAAGGTACCGCGTAAAAAAATCACATTTCTAACTAGAAGTGTTTATCGTGAAAAAATAGATTCTTTTATCTCAGTAAAACGTAAAATTAATTCACCTAGGTACTCTCAACATTTAAATTATAAAATAGATGTCATATTTCATGAGCCCGTAGAAATTAATCAATATTTTAACTACGAAACAATACAATTTTCTTTTCATTTCGTTTTATGTAAAATGTCTATCCTTGTGCAATTTGCTTTGGGGATCTGAACACCATTCCTTTGTTGCGGTTTGGTGAATTCCTATACGTTAACAGTTATTATTTATATTATACCTACCTTTGAATGCATTCATTGACGCAACTAGGAAGGTGCACAGGAGACTTGTGCACCCCCAAATAATAAAAACCTTTATACACTGCAATTAAAATGTTTTGATTTTGAAGTAAATATTAGGTTACCTATTATTAATTACAAACATGTTAAACTATACTGTGTATGATACCTACTGATACGCTCTCAAAGCGGAAATGACGATCTTTACAAATTGCTTGCCTAGGTACAAATTTCAGTTTTGATGATGTTAACAAAATAAAAAGTCCCAACTTGTACAAACTAATTCAGGTAGGTATCATCATATCAATAAGTTCTGCTACTTGTGAATGTAGTATCTCCAGTATGCACCGAATTAAAAATTGGCCATGTACAAGTATGCTACAACAAAGATTTACCAATTGATCAATATTAAATATCGAGAGAGATATAAAAAATAGTTTAAAAATTGAATACATTGTAAATAAATATAGTTTGTATTCAAGAAAAGTCTTGTTGAAATAGTTGTGATAATTTTCTTTTGTTGACATGCAATTTATTACTCATATTAAAGCACATAAATATACATTTCCAAGTATTTTTATTGTAAATATAGTGCGTAGTCTACAGGGGGTAGGCGACGCGGAGACAAATCTCCCATGGGTCTGTGAAATCTTTACCATTTTTGTACCCCAGAAAATATTGTTCTAGTTGCGCCTGTACCCATATTGTTACAGTGAAGTATTTTTCTAACTCACATAAATTTTAATTTATTTTTCTTATTACTGAAAATTGAATAAACAGCAAATCATATTAAAGTATACATACATGTATGATATTATGCACGTTTAAAAAATATGATATTTAGCAGGTATATACAGTTTTGCGGTCAGGGACTGCGGTTGTCGTCGGGTATCACGTACGGTGTAGATTTTCGCGAGTGTTTGATGCCGAACGAGAACTTCGTCGTACACCCTCTGGAGCACTCGGACACGTAGTACGCCTGTGGTCCGGGCCCGGAATTTTGTCCTGTTTCCCGCGTTCGCGCACCGATCGACACGGCCGGCGCATGATTTTTGTACGCGTCAATGTTTGTTGGGCCGTAAGCAGCTGGACCGGGACTCGACCTTCCCGGTTCCCCAAAAGGGTATCGTGTCTTCCACTGACTGTATCGTGTAACACAAAAATACAGTATTATAATATGATGAACCGCATTGAATCAGACCATGTCTAATTAAATTTTAAGCACAGCGAGATCTACAGATTCAGATTAACCATGGGGATTTGGTTGACAGGGGAATTGATTGTCTCACGGGGATCTAGTTGACCCGGGATCTAAGAGGCTGTCACTCTTTCAAACGTGTACACGCCGAACACCCATAGAAGTTTACAAGTGCGAAATGACGGTGACGACGTACGTAAGTTGGTACGGAGAACAAACCGATCTATGAATTATCCGATCGAATCTTATTGGTTGGAGCCTCTGCAGTGTCCGTATCATAGAGTAATACTCAATGGTCCGTACTTTATTACAATAGAGTGCGTACGGTTCGTTTATAAGTCGTAATCAAATATGCAAATCGTATATTTTGTATCAATTTTTAATAGGTACTTAGTACCTACTGTGCGCGGACGTATACACTAAAGAATTTATACGGGAAATAAAAAGTAATGGGGGAATTCGGCGAACCGGCCAGGCGCGTCTCTGAAGGGGGGGGAGAAGGGATCGAGGGAGCCTCCATAAGCCATGTGATGTTCTTTTTCGATATACAAAATATCCATAGTTCTTAAGTACAAATAAGTACAAATGCAACTGGTTCCAAATACCATAAAGATGATTTCGGATCTTGGAAATACTTAGACTGAAGCAAGAATGAAACGTTTCTCATTTATAAATTTCAATAAATATTGTCTTAAGGGTGAGATAGAATTTTGGAAAACTCAGTGGAAACAATCAATTTGCAAAGATATAATAAAATAATATATTTTTAGAATCAAAATTGGAAATGATTAATTTAATATAAATTTTAGATTCTGAGTATAGCGAACCTATTGGATTTACAATGATGTTCTTTTTTTTAAACTGTGTCAAAAATGTCTACCAGAAATCTTGCTTCAATATGTAAGTGTAGCACCTTTTTTGAAAGAAAATATTTTTATAATGACTAGATAGTACTTTAAGAAGGTCATTTTTTGATTTTCTCAAGATTTTTCCCAATAAATTGGAAAAACCGGGAAAAACATGGGAAAACTGTAGGAAAAACGGGAAAATAGGTATAATATCAAACAAATATTATTAAAGAAAATACATAATGCCAATGTAGTTATTGTACCATACTATAAGTTGTGATGTATATTATAGATATGGTTGGCAAAGCAACACTATCAACTGAACTCCGTTCCGTTTAGAATAGGGTTTTCGTTAGCAATGGTTTATCGTTGTTTATAGTGCTTACAGATATACATTAAATTCCTGTCTGTATCCTACCTTCCCAACTTCCCACATATAACAGTGGCTGCACCCACGTACGAAATATGTCTGGCTTTTGTTATTTTCAATTTTGTTTTTTTTGTTGCAGTTCAATTAAGAATATTTGTAAAGCCTTTTCTAGACGTAGTAAAATTTTTGAAATTCTTTTATCATTTTTGAGCTATTTAAAGGCATTTTAATGTGAGTTTTTTCCGTAATTTTTTTTCGGTAGTACTCTGTGGATAAAATTGTTTGGCTAACAGAAATGCTTGAAAACTTAAGAGGAGGTTCATTATAAGTTGTACTTTGTATTTAAAAAAAAAAAAACTTGAGTTTAATGCAGTATTTTTTTTTTTTCATAAGAATTTGAATACAAAATTTTGACGAAAATCAGTATTATGGCTTTTCAAAATATGTATGACCGAACTTCGCTTAGAATTGCTTTTTGTTAGCAATGATTAATTGTTGCATACAGATAAAAATTTAATTCTTCTGTATATTCTATTCTCCCAACTATTGCCCTACAACAGTGGCCCACCCATTGTGAAGTATGTCCGTCTTTTTAAAAAAATAATAATTTGATAATTTTAATTAAAACTAATATTCGATTCAAATAATACAAATGAAGTAAATAGTATAAAATGATATTCGAAATTTAGACTATAATACATGTAAGGCGTAGGCGGTATTTATATTTAATAATTAAATATTAAGTTAAAAATTAAAGAATGGTTTATTTGTATGTCCTTGAAAATAACGAAGAAGATTACACCGGTTAGCTTTGCTTTACTTAAATTTATTAACTTTATTTTCATTATTAATCTTTTTTTTTACTAATTTAATAGGTTCGTACGAGTACTTTATTAGAGGTACTTAATTTAATCTTTACTATCATAAAAGACATTACATTGTAATGTCTCACGGCGTAAATGTTATAAATTAATTAATAACATAATTTATGATTTGCGATGTACGGCAAATTAACATAGAATGTGTATTGTATATAGAAAAGAAACGAACTTGGACGGAAATATTATTAAAAGAATATCGTTCTAGGTTTTGGGTTTTTTTTTTTTCGACTCTTATAAGTTAGGTGTTATTAATAACTCACATCGTGTATCCTTTTCTCCTGCTTTTGACCGACGACATTCCGCTGATGTCCGGTATGCGTAACGTGTATGCGTTAGGTGCTGGAATATCGAATTTCTTCAACTCTTCCAGAGGTAACGATAATTTCGGCGTGGGGGCATGTATTAAATTCGGATAGCACGGCAAGTAGATCGCTGGTCCCGGACCAAGTGTCTCTGCAGCGGGTGGCGTGAGTTACATTTCGTCAAACTTATTTAGTACGTATAGGTATAATAAATTTTAATATTAGGTATATTATTATGTACCTATATATACACAATATTAATTTCTGAGCTGAGCGGACAATACCTAGCGAATTATTGTCGAATTTTTTCCGAAAAATAGAGACTATTGTACCGTATTGTGGATGTTTTTTCGTACTGCATTATAAATAAGTAGGTACACTATGGGTATAAAATATTGAAATTAAATGTGAAATATGAACTTTTGAATTAGAATTAGGCACTACCCATCTTCAAAAAAATGTTGTTTGTAGATAAGTTATTATTATTTTTTTGAACATACTATAATAGTTCGGGAATCTCTTTCAAAAATTATTATTATTTTGAATCGTATTTTATTATAGTTAATAAAGTAAATAAATTGAGTTAAATTTCACCATGTTATTGTATATACGAATGTTTTTATATACGTGATGTATTTGTAGGTATCAAGGACGTGCCTTTTGTAGGGTTCAACTTCAAACTCTTCTCAACCATTTGTATGTTTAAAAATAATGTGTTAACAGGATGTGCCGGGTTTCGAATACCCCTACAGATTAAAATGTTATTAAAAATCTCTGGAAATCATAAATATAAGTCGGCTAGATTAAAATTTGACTTTAGTGACAAAGCTCTGCGCTGATCATGGGTTTTAATTCCTATGATTATTTACGAAAGGCAGTATATAAATTGTTCAATAGGTCTCGTCCTAGGTTAGCCCCTCTTTTATCAACTGATTTGGGTCTTTTGCAGAAGAGGTGTATAGTAGTTTATGAATTCGGCATTCTGCATACTTGAAACTCACGTAAACATAATTTTAATCCCGCGCTGTTTTCTCAGATTCTTTTACAGAATTAAATAAGTTTTTTTTTTATATTTAAAACAATTTTATTTCTAGCATTTTTAATAATTTTTTTTTTTTACTTGAGTTCGGTATATTGTAGTCTCCAAAAATGATTTTGCCACTAGTATCACGACCATGTCTTGTAACCTGGTCAATTTTGTACGCTGGTCCGGGACCAGAACTGTCATTTCGTATTTTCGTCTGGGGTCTTAGTGAATACGCAGGAGATTGCCACATAGTTGGATCGGTTTTTTTCGGCATACCGATCGTCGGCTTTTTATAATAATTAGAAGGTCCCGGACCTTAAAATAATAATACCTTTATAATAACTGATAAGAGTTAATAAATAAGTTAATAAATGATCATATTAGGTTAAAAGTAACACTATGTCATTATCTAATAAATAAATAAATAGGTACCTATTATTATTTAATTATTGTTCGAATTGAGGAGGACGCAGAAGGACGAAGTATCTTAACTAATTTTTCAGAAATTTTAATGTACCACTGCTAATCAAAATGCATATTCATTAAAATTTGAACTTTAAGAGTTTATAAAAAAATGACTTCATAACGTTGACATTTTTTTTCCATTAATTCACTATTCACTAATAACTTATGTTCAATTTTCACTGGGGTAAAAATAATTTTAATCTTATAAAAGATAAAACCAAACAAAACCATACCAAACCAAATCGTTAAAAATAATTTAAAAATTACCAGAGTATTTTGAAAATCATACCATGTTCGGAAAGAGTTATATACAAAAGACTACATCTGTATAAGTTATTCAATGAAATTTCCAGCCTCTACAATTATTTTTCAATGAATAAATAAAATAAAATGTAACGAAAACGTAGTTAAAAGTTTTCCCGACGTTTTTTCTATGATTTTCCCCATAATTGAAAATTATTCTAGAAATAAAATCAAAAAATAATATCCTCATTACACCTTTATTTTAGTAGAAAAAATCACATATAATTTCGATGATCGGGGCAAGATTTTTGGTAGAAAATTTGTTAGTTTAAAAAAAAAAAAAAAAAAACATATTATATCACAGTAGAATCATTTTAGTAGAATATATAATAAATATTGTCTATTGATTATTATGTAAGCAAAACGCTAGGGTTAGACTCTAATTTATATACACCATATATATAATACTAGATAGCTAACTTGTTAAACACCGAGATACTGAACGTTGACGAAAGTCGCCATTTGCGTGGTGGTCAATATTTATATTTTTCATTCACATTTCTTATCATTTCATCATGTTATGTGTTTTATATTCGGTTTTGTTCATCTATTTGTTTTCCCCTGTGTTCTAAGGTCGTGCTATGGTGTGTAAAATGTTTTCCACTTTAAAATTTAATTGATAAACACATTGAATGCAAAAATAATAGTATATTAGTTGTCATATTTTTTTTTTGTTGTGTGTTATAGCCGTGGGTTTTATTCAATATTCTCTTCGCAGACTCTAAAAACGTCCATACTATAAATCAATTAGACTTTGAAACAGTGAATTGGCCAGAAAAATTGAATATAAGCGACTGTACATAATTCACCAATGAGCATAGCCAAAAGTAATATCAAGAACGGTATAACATCATATTATTAACACTTGTAATCTAACTTGATAAGAAAATTACGTAAACATTAACCACGGTTCATCAAGCATATAGCGTTGGCATCAAAAGCACGAATCAGCTATCTAGTATTCTAAAGCTATGGTGATTTATATTATAGCAACGAAGAATTCTGATAATTATGTGTATATATATATGTATTTATTATTTGCGGGTGTTTACCAATTATATTTTATGAGTTTATTAGACTTTATGCATATAATAATATGATAATATATAAATATAAAATAACATATTTTTACGAATAAACAATAATTAACAAAAAATATGATAAATTCGTAGAAAATTTTACCTCCTTCGTCGGCATTTTCTAAACATGTCTTGTACATTATTTTTTTTAAAAAAAACTACTATTTGTATGTATATATATATATGAGTTTTTTTAAAACAAATAAATTATTTGTTATTTTTCAAAGAATACCTTTTTTTTAATTATAATTATTTAAACCTCATACAAACATTTTAATATACGAGTAATATTGATATATCTCTATAGAAATCATGAAACCTTGACACAAATTTGATTAAAGCTGAGAAATTGTATATAATATTGTAATTTAGGTACCCAGTGACGTATTTATGACTTGTTTTTTGAGGGGGAAGCATTAATACAATTTAAACAGATTTAATTGATTTAAGTGAATCATACCAGGCCGACCCAGTGGTGGATGTTGGAATTGATTTAAAAAAAAAGGTTATATTATGTCAAACTTCGAACTGCTTTCATATAGGCTATCTAGATTTACAGATATTATTATGACCGTAAAACTATGAACATGTACTAAATAACCGTAAACAACATACGAATACAAGTGGTGTCAAGTGTACCTTTGAAATTGTTATCCGTTCGTTTAAAAAAAAAATTCCTCATCTTCTTAGAAACTATCTTAATTTGATAGTATATCGGAGGTGGGTTTTTAAAAATATTAATTTGTTATTTAAATGGAAGTGTTCGCACATAACAGTTACTTTTGACGAAACTCTACCGAGTAACTGGATTGATTTTGCCCTAATCGGATCAACGTTTCAATTCTAGACAATCATGATCCAACAATTTAGTTTTGTTAACCACGCTTGACGAACCATTGGCGTGTGCGTAGACGGCCGCATGCGAATAGCGTCCAGCGGAAACACTTCCTTTCGAATTGCGTCTCGGTTTTTTTTTTGTATACATACTAGTACAGTAGTACGCTAGTACCATCCCTAAATCATAAAAGCAAAACAATCTAATCGCCGTCCTTTCAGAATTATAGAAGGCCAAACTGAGAAAACATTTTTAAAAATGTATTGACTTTTTAAAATCGTCAAAAGTACTTTTTATTGAAAATATAATATTGATTTTGTTATATTCAGACGAAACGTGGTAAATGTCTCCCATCTTTATCGTGAATAAAAAGGTTAATGTACATTAACATTAATTATTAGTTGTAGTTACTAGCCTCCAATGATTATAGGTAGTTTATAATTATTAAAATATATACAAGTCGACTCCCGAAAATGTTCACACTAGTTGCCTCCCCAAATAGAATAAATTAGTGGTTCATAAACTAAAATGATAAATTCAATATAACATATACAATTTTATTTTTTGAACACATTTGTTTGGTTATTAAGAAATATAATATTTATAAACACTTAAAAACCACAAATAAAATAAAAATAATAACATTATAATGATTGGTCGATAAAAAAATATTTGGTAATATATTTTAAATTAAAAAAAATGTAGTAATTAAATATCGTTTGTTATAACATTGCTTAGGTTTATATCTATGATTCAATAATGGTGACCGGCCAAAAATGATCATTGATGGAATGGCCGAAAAGTAACACTGGCTGAATAGGAAAAAGTTAATCTTGGCCGAATAACTCGTGTGATGGCACGGCACGGCGCGCGACGATTGAATAATTCGCCTAAATTCAAAAGTGGAATATCTGGAAATCAAAAACGGAAACACCAAAATGTATTTGAACTAATACTCAATCAATCGATGAAATTTCGATTATGGGTTTTTATTTGAATTTCAAAAGTTTTCATACAAAACCCTCGAAAAAAAAAATAAATATATAAATATTATACAAATTATTTTAGATGTTTACAAATCGAAAGACTCTTTGGTGTTTGTACATTTTTCTTTTTTTATTATATTTTTTATAGGAGAAAATCGCTGTAACGTAGAATCCTGATCTCCCGGTGTGTGATAAACATGTAAACGCGTAAAAGAATATTAAACCGCGTTCGGCATGAAATTATTATATTTTTTAGTCGTATTCATTTTTTTTCTTTTCCTGTCGAGACGGATTTACGGTTTTCCATGATTACAGTCGCACAATAAAGACCCGTTTTCGTACACAATATAACATTGTACATTGTTGTACATCTTTGGAAACAAACGTGTGTGTGTGTGTGTGTGTGTGTGTGTGTGTGTGTGTGTGTGTGCGCGCGCGCGTGTGAACGATTGCGGTACAAAAGTAAAAGAAAAAAAAACCATAATATACTTACTCTTCATCCCGTAGTAATAATATACGCTGTACGCGCTGAAATTTATAAGCGCTGCACCTAATGCGGTATACTTTTGCTGGTGGAGCATATAAAAAAAAAAAAAAAAAAAACCCCGCGTTTAGGTAAATTATCGTCGCCCGCACGGCATGGGTGTTCGGCACACTGTACGTGTACGGGGCGGCGGTTCGCGTAATAAACGCGCGTTGTTATCGAATGGCAGCGCGCCCGGGACATTTATCGGACTGTGAGAATAATAATATAATAATATCACCGCCGCCGTCGTATTATTATTGTGTTTTCCGAGTGGTTTTGATAGAGAGAGAGAAGAAAAAAAAAATAAATAATAATAATAATAATAACAATAATAACCGCCGTCTTCGTCGTCGAAAACGTATTTATTTTTTCACCGTATTCGTTACAATACGCACAAGTATTGTGCCTCGTTATTTCGTACGGTATGCCCACTGCTCTCGTAATGCGTCGGACAAATGCGCGAGATTTCCTTGCGCGGTGCCGCAGGTGACGACGACGACGACGACGGCCGCAGCACAAGTCCCCGCAGCAAGTCCTTGTGCACACGCACGCACGCACGCACACGCGGTTTCGCGGACCGGTAGTGCGTTATGTACGGCCGATAGTGTTGTTGTAGCGGTCGAGAGAGACACAGCGATCGAGGGGGAGGGGATAAAAAAAAAAAACAAAAAAAACCCCCCCCCTCGGCATTTTCAGAATAACATTGTAAATATACGGGAATGCGTACACGCGTTGGGTACGCGCGAAAACCGCCGTCGCGGATTGTTGACGACGGCGCGGGCGGCAGCGTCCGCGCGCGACGACGGCATTATAAAAACATTGCGTTTGTTACCTGCGTTTGCATACCTGTACGCATTATAATAATAATAATATTATATACGAGTGTAAATCCGGCCGCAGCGAGACGGATAGGTGTGTTCCATTTTGACGGATCCGAAACGGACATGACTCCCGTACAACGTTTGTCCGGTCGCGGCGCGCCGTTCCGTCGCCGCGTTGTTTTCTCAGGCGCGCGGCCGCCTCCCCCCGCACCACTACCCGCCCCCGACGCGGCGCTGTCACCGGCCCGTCAAACTGACC